CCACCCACCCCATACTCCTGGAGCGTCCCCCACAGGGTGCCCCTGGGGACACGGTCATAAGCCTTCTCCAAATCCACAAAACACATGTGGATTGGTTGGGCAAACTCCCATGCCCTCTCCATCACCCTTGCAAGGTATAGAGCTGGTCCACAGTTCCACTGCCAGGACGAAAACCACATTGCTCCTCCTCAATCTGAGATTCAACTATCGATCGGACCCTCCTCTCCAGTACCTTGGAGTAGACCTTTCCATGGAGGCTGAGGAGTGTGATCCCCCTATAGTTGGAACACACCCTCAGGTCACCCTTCTTAAAGATGGGGACCACCACCCCGGTCTGCCACTCCACAGGAACTGCCCCCGATGACCACGCAATGTTGCAGAGATATGTCAGCCATGACAGCCCTACAACATCCATAGCCTTGAGATACCCAGGACAAACTTCATCCGCCCCCGGGGCTCCGCCACTGTGTAGTTGTTTGACAACCTCAGCAACTTCTGCCCCTGAGATTGGACAGTCCATCCCCAGGTCTCCCGGCTCTGGTTCCTCCTCGGAATGCGCATAGGTGGGATTGAGGAGCTCCTCAAAGTATTCCTTCCACCGTCCGACTATAGCCCCATTTGACGTCAGCAGCTCCCCATCCCCACTGTAAACAGTGTGAGCGAGTTGCTGCCTTCGTCTCCTGAGGCGCCGGACAGTTTGCCAGAACCTCTTTGGAGCTGATCGATAGTCTTTCTCCATGGCCTCACCAAACTCCTCCCACGCCCGAGATTTTGCCTCGGCAACCGCCACTGCTGCACCCCGCTTGGCTATCCGGTACCTGTCTGCTGCCTCCGGAGACCCACAGACCAGCCACGCCCTGTAGGCCTCCTTCTTCAGCCTGACGGCTCCCCAAACCTCTGGTGTCCACTAGCGGGTACGGGGGTTGCCACCACAACTGGCACCGGCCACCTTGCAACCACAGCTAGCAACAGCCGCCTCAACAATCGCTTGTAACATATAACCATAAAAATCAGGTCTAAAATACTGGGAGCGGGTTTAAGTCTTTGGGTGATGCCACATTAGAAGCCATGTTTCCTTCTATGGGAGCCCATGAGGACAAAATGCATTTACTGACTTGTAACAAATGGTTACAAAACTTTTGTCATTCTTAAATGTTGATTTAAACATTTACCTCCTCACTTGTTGCCAGTGATGAAATGGAGTCTGATGTGCTTGTCATTTTGCTAAAGTTTGTGCTCCCCAGGGCTTTTTGACCCTAATGGACATCCGTTGGTAAGGTCTTACTCCAACACAAAAATACTGCTTGCTTGCAACAATTTAGGTATCTACTGCCCCCTATCGCCAGGACAAATACACACTGTTGCTTTAAGTTACAAGAATAACTGAGTTAAAGTTAATTTGTTCAGGGTATTTAATCAAATACTAAAACTTAACTTTTCACAACTGAAAGACACTAATATTCTTTAACATTATATTATTTTTCTAATTATCCACAAAGAAGTAATCACAACCCTTTTATATTGCACACACACTTTTTGTTAAAATTTTAACCAAATTACTGCCCTACACCCCAGCAGGTCCCTCAGGTCCAGTGATTAAAGCCTACTGGTTGTGCAGCGCACCAGGCACCAGGCGATAGATCATTTGCATGCTGTGGCCCCCAGACTCTGGAACTCTCTCTCCCCTGAGCCTGAGATCAGTGGACTCAGTGGTCTTCTTTAAAAAGCAACTGAAAACTCACTTGTTCAGGGTGGCTTTTGTGTGACCTTCATCACCCTCTCTTTATTCTGCTCTCCCCACCTATTCCACCTTCCTCAGGATCCACTGAATTTTCTCTTTCTTTTTCACACTCTCCCTCTCTCTTTCTTTACATTTTTAATCACAATTGTCTATTTATGCTCAATTTAAATAAGTTTTAAATCATTTTCTAGATTCTTTTTTATATTTTACATTTTTTGTTTTTGTGAAGCACCTCGTGATTTTTATCTTGAGAGGTGCTATCTAAAAGATATTTTCTTCTTCTTCTTCTTCTTCTTCTTTTTTGTTTTTGCTTTTGTTTTTGTTTTTTTTCTTCTTCTTCTTCTTCTTCTTCTTCTTCTTCTTCTTCTTCTTCTTCATTTAAAAAATAGTTCATCTTGACCTACTGAGAAAATGCAGGAATAACAGTAAAAAATATTCTTATGCTTTTATGAAATATTCAACATGGTTGTGATCTCCTTTACTAAATAGACTCATAGCTTTGGTTGGTACTGTTTGACATATCTGTTAAACAAACACTTCTTTCAGGGCTTTTGCACAAAGCGGAGCTCCAACACAAAGCAACATAGAGAATAAGATTTTGGAAAAGGAGCAGCTGAGCACTCGAAAAGAAAAGCCACTGAATCTTCATCATTTCTTTAAAAACATCCTTGGTAGTCTCCCACTTTGCTCCGTCCAAACTAGCTGTCTCGAATCATGCTGCAGCACAGCCTCTTTTAAGAAGCCATTTGTCATCTTTGTGTTGACATGAACATATTTCTGTTTGGCACCCATTAACCTCTCATGTTTTTAATAATCCTAAATGTTTTAGGGGGTGTCTGAATAGCACTTGCATGTCAGCTCTTATTTTTCTAAATGATAAGTGAGCTGAGTTCAGACAAGGGTTACTATAAATTTAATGAGAAGCTCTAAACTGCATAGTTTTAAGGTGACACCGTCTGAAACCTCTGTGATCATGTATCATACCAGCTCACATTGTCTCTGAAATTCTAAATTATTTAGAGTATTCAGCAGTTTATCAAGCCAACATTACATGCTTATTTTAACTTTTGCAGATTGTTTTAACTACAAACTAAAATTCTGGAGAAGAGCTGCTGCTCCTTCTGGGACAGCAGTAGCTCAAGTGGAGCGGGTTGTCCAGTAATCGGAAGGTTGCAGATTCGATCCTGGCTCTGACCAGAGAATGCTGCTGTTGTGTCCTTGGGCAAGACACTTAACCTGCCTTGCCTGCTGGTGGTAGTCGGAGGGACCAGTGGTGCCTGTGCTCGGCAGCCTCGCCTCTGTCAGTGTGCCCCAGGGCAGCTGTGGCTACATCATAGCTCATCACCACCAGCATGTGAATGTGTGTGTGAATGGGTAAATGACTGTGTTGTGAAGCGCCTTGGGGGTTGTAGAACCCTGAGAAGGCACTATACAAATACAGGCCATTTACCATTCTCATCAGAAAAAGTCAACTGAGGTGGTTCTGACTCAGTAGAATGCCTCCTGGCTCAAGAAAATTATTTAAAATATGAGCGTGTTGCACAGTGTGACTTTAAAAACACAAGTTTTTTTTTTTTTTTTAGAATTTGAGCAAAAATTATTAAGAACCATTGCGGAAGGACCAAAAAAGCCTCTTGTGGCTCCAGAGCTGTAGTTTGCAGACCCCTGCCCTGGGAGAACCCTGGAGAGTATGGGTTGGCTTGGAAACAGAGAGCTTTGTCGTCATGATCATCATCATCATCTTTATTTATAAAGCAAGTTCTATCAACCAAACCAAAGTGCATAAAAAGTTTAAACAAGGATGAACCCTGAGGCCAACAGATAAATACATAAGAACAAATGACAACAGCATGATAGAATAGGATAAATGATCTAAAACCATTGCTATACAGCAGCGCTGGCACTCTGCTCACATGCATCCCTGACTGTATGTAAGGCACCGACCAATCGGGCTTATAAAAAAACTTCTGTGACCCCCTAAACACCAGCTGTCACATAACGGATCTGCCAGCACCTCTCACACCCCCCGCTCACACCAGCAGTGCCCCCCCCCCCCCCCCCCCCCCCCGTCCAACAATCATTTAAATGGGATGAGCCTCAAATTGATTTTCACTACAATCTAATAGACATCATTTGCCTGTTTCTACTTATTTACAGTTTTTCTCAATTGCTAAAACACTAAAATCCATTGACTGACGAAAGTTTTCAGTTGCTTGAACTCATTAAGCTAACTGTTGAGCCTGTTGTCAAAACCTTAAACCATTTCACACGGTTTAGCAAAACTCTAAACGCATTCTCATTCTTAACACACATTCTGCACTCTAATGTGCATGTCATACATAACGGTAAACACAAGTGGCACACATTTACCCATAACAAGAGCACAAATGTCATTGATTGAACTCCATCGGTCTAAATAGATTTCACTCGTTTCAAATGATGTGACAACCAATATAAGCAAGTTCAGAGAGCAAACAGGTTGTTGAAGGTGGGAATGAGAAAGTGTGACAATGGATAGAAGAATTCATGTGAGAGGGTGAGGATGGGGTGGGGTGTGTGTGTGTGTGTGGGGGGGGGGGGGGGGGGGGGGGACGAGGAGGAGGGCAAGAAAGAGCAAGACAAAGAGTGGAAATATCCAATGAAATTTGAGCAACAACCATTGACCATGTTGTTGTCCATGGGCTGACAATGAGGGAAGCAGGACTTAGAGAGCAACCCAATTTGAGCCGTAGGAGGGAAAATATTGCATGTGATGTTGATGAAGTGCTGTGGCCTGACCCAGCCCACAGACAAGAAGAGTCCCATTGATAACATATGTAGTCCTTTGATGTTTTTCATTTCATGTATTGTTTTTCACTGTCATGGTACACTGTAGCACAATGGACTGCAGACTGTATATGGTACAATAAACAAATTGTATGGCCCTGAACATTGTGCTTTCTATTTTTTGGTGTATTGTTTACTGACTGCTTGATGGTGTATGTAATTTCGAGAAATTAGTTTATGATTTGCGAGTAGTGTTTGATTTTGAGCACAGCTAAAACTGTTTTGAAGCGAAAGTTTGATTTTGCAAGAGAAATAAGAGGTTTTGTAAATCGTGCTTGAAGCTGAGGTTTTGTGTTTAATGTTTTAAGAAAAGGGGGCAAGGTTTCAGGAATTGTGCTTTAGCAATTGAGAAAAACTGTAATTGTGTTTTTTTGTGGAACAGAAGCAATATCTTCACCCATACATTTGATGCTTTCTCACTCTCTCTCCACAGACATGGCCTTCATCATCTCCATGCTGCTTGCTAGTCTAAACAGCTGCTGTAACCCCTGGATCTACATGTTCTTTGCTGGTCACCTTTTTCATGACTTGATGCGATGCTTCTTCTGCTGCTGCAGACACTATCTGGCAGACACTTCTTGCAGCTGCGAACAACAGTGCTCGCACAAGAGCCCATCCTCCACTTACGTCATCAAGAACACTGGCAGCCAGAGGAGCCTCACGCACACATCCAGCACAGGGGGGCCGGGGCACTGAAAGCATATAATCATCCTGCTACTGACTTATCCAGCGATCACACAAGCGCTTATTTCAGGCATTTAATCAACCCCAGCACAATGCTTGTTGTCAAACATTTTAAATTATGCCAAACTGAGAATTTGAACCTCCTGCACGCTGTGATAACAGAAAATAGGACAAAATGCTATTGTGTTCAAAATGAGGACAAACAAAGATGTAAAGTGAAGTTTCAACCTGCGGTACATCTGCTGTCCGTTTCAATTTTACTGGATGGGTGGAAAAAATAAGGTTGCCCCTTTTATCAGCTTTATCACAATTCACTGTCAGCTTCAACTTCAGGATGGACAAACTACTCACTTGGGCAAACATTTATTGTTTTGAGTTGATTTTAACAAAGTGGAGAAATTTAAGTTATTAGGGCGCTGAAGCATTAGTGTGGGCAGACATATGTAAGAATTTTACAGTAAAATTATCACAAAACAGTCTAATGTCTCAATCTTGTTGGAGGGAAGATTATATTGAAACAGATTTCCTTCTCAGCCGACTGGGGGATTGTCAGTTTTGTTCCTTTCAAAAACGCTAAAGAGGAATGTAGCCTTTTTCTACGATCTGCCACCCTGCTGGGGTTGTCAAGTCTGAGCTAACATTGCTACCCAGGCAATTGTAACACTGGTGGGCAAAATGCAGCAGTGTTCCATAAAGAACCTAAGCCAGTAAACAGGAGCGACCCATAAGTTATTTCTTGTACCCCCTAAGAAGTCACGGGCTCTTTTTGTGTTTCCTCTAATATTGGGTAAAGAAGGCTAGAAGCTAACATTGAGCTAACAATGCTAACAGTGAATTAGAAACAACTAGTCGGCTCTAAAAATATCTCAAACTACTTTTTCAATGACCAAAAACATAGAGAAAACACTGCGCTGTGGCGCTGTGTATCACGCTGCAAGCGCAGGAGGAGGATTGACCCAAAATGCAGAACACCAGAATCACTCAATGCAGGAGCAGTCGCATAAATAAAAATTCCTTCAGTTTGGATGATGAGTGAGTTCCAAAGGGGCAGGAAGCCAGACCTAAAATCAGTAACCCGACTGACAAAAACAAAAAGCTCGTTGATGAGCAAAACCTAGAGTTTCACGAGTGGGAACAGAAAAACACTGACAATGGACCGACAAACACTGAGAGACAAGACAGGTTTTATACACAGGGGCTGGGTGATTAAGGGAATTGGGCACAGGTGAGATTGATAACTGAGAGGAGGAGCAGAACCGGGCAGGTGAGGAAACCAGACCTAAAATCTGTAAGACAAAGCTACTGAACGTAAATAAACCTAAACACTGTAGAAATAAGACTAAAGATAAATAAACTAATGACCTCAGAGTGACAGAACTAATTATAATGGAAGGCAGGAGAGGATCATACTTAAATGGGGAAGGAACACAATACACTAAAGGGAGATATGAACTAGATCATCTAAAATAACAGAAAACTAATGATAAGTCAACACATTCTCACTCCCAGCACGTCAAAAACAAACACTTGGTCAGCCACCCTCCACGTCAGACCCCTGACGCCAAAAGTGCCCTTTGTAGTTACTTGTGTGCGAAAAGGGGTTTTCCCCTTATTTGACTGCAGATCCCAATGCAGCGTAAAACTGACGCGATGGGATGTCCACAGCCAGGGCACCAAACAAGCTCATTGTACCTCACCTTAACCGTATCCTCTTATTTAACCCTCCCCTCACCCCTATCCTAACCTTAACCATCTTGTTAGCGAACACGTTATTGATGTGTCGATCACTCTAAAAGCCGGCTCTATGAAGTGAACGGCGGGAGCCGCCTCGTCATTGGTCGAGTTTGGACCGAGCCAACGCGAGGGGTAGGTTTCAACTACCAATGTGGAGGTTAAAAGTAGAGGGTATTTGTAACCTCCCCCTCGCCAGATGGTATGTTCTAACGTTCCCCTTGGGCGGCAAATACGAAAATTGACAGTCAGATTCTAACTGTCAGAGTCAGAATGCATGGGAAACCAACGCTTGATCACAGTGAGAGTAACGTTTTAGGTAGCAAGAGGGTTAAGGTTAGGATGAGGGTGAGGGGAAGGTTATAAATAGTGAAACGTTAAGGTTTAGGTGCGGTTTAACGAGCTGGTTCGGTGCCGCATCAGCGGATATCTCATCACGTCAGTTTTACGCTGCATTGGGATCTGCAGTTACAAAAGGGAAAAACCCCTTTTTGCACATAAGTAACGAAAAAGGGCACTTTTGTCGTCTGGGGTCTGACATGGAGGGTGGCTGACCAAGCGTTTGTTTCCGACGCTTAGGGTGTGAGAATGTGTTGGATAAGTGAAGTGACTAGAGGGAACCTGGAAAAATTGGGGACCAAAAGAGACGCAGAACATTAGAGGACACATGAGGGAACCTGGAGGGGCTGGGGACCACAGGGACACAGAGCATGTCACTGAACATTTCAGATGTGTACTAATCGGTTCGTTACAGGACAATTTCAAGCCATTCATATTAATACCACAAAAATGAGGGCATTTCCAAATTGCTGGCCACTGGACCCCCAAGGGAGGATATGCCCCCCCCCCCCCCCCCCCTTTAATTTATCATATGCTTGTTCACACACTACATGCATACATGTTCTTAATCAAGACATACTTGTAAAAGCCAGTGAACATATTTATAATTGCTGAACAAATAAATCATCATTTCAATAAATGTCCTTGAAATTTACCATTTTCCTAAAATATATAAAACTACCAGTGGATGTTTTTGTGGATGCTTTAGGTTAGACTGCAATGAATTCAACTTTTCTAAAATGCTTAAAAATCTATGTAAGCAACTATTAAAATAAGTGTTTGAAACATATTTTTTCTGAAATGTTTGTTTTTTTAATGTGACGTAAATGTGTTGGATGCATAATGTGTTCCTTAATGAAGTCAAATAAAGGAACATGCAGTGCACCACCACAAGCTAAATGCTCCAAGAGTTATTATTCCTCCAAACCGTTAACTAAACTCCAGTGATTCTGCTGATAATGAAGCCTAAAGGTGAATGGTTGAAATGCAAATATGGCTGCATAAATTCATCCTTTAAATAACATCATTGTCACTGATGAGGATGATTTCTGTCCATTGATGGTCAAACTACTGAAACAGATCTTAAAGGGCAACTATCTGTTTGTTTTGTGCGATGGTGAGCTTTTTTATGTTCAGTAGTTCATGCTGGTGTATACAGAAAAAACAAACTTCAAGGGGTTTCAGACACAATCTGTGCCGATCGCATGTTTGCATGGGGGGGTCAATGCTGCAGAGCAGATGTCAAACGAATTCCAGATGTAGAAGTGAGACGTAAAACTTACCCTAATAGGATGTGTCTCCTAAACCCATCAGAAGAGCTCTTTTACGCAGTTTCTTTCATTTTAATTAAAGCACGTTACATCTTTTTTTAAAAGAACTCAGAAAACTGATAATTTTTGAAGAAAATGCAAATTTGCCTCCTTCTATTTCATAAGACTGTGTTTAATCTTTAAAAAAGACAAAATAACTTTCAAATGACAAATTGTTGGTTTATAATTATGTAACATTTAATTTACTTTAGCCTGCCCCTCGTGAGTGTTTCACTATCAATATTTTATCAACTCCTTCATATCCTTTGTTGGAAGTTTACTACGTGCACGGGTTATCAGATGAACTGGAACACACTTATTAGTACATTATGGGCATCTGGTGGGCCACTTTGTACTGAAAAACTGTTTTCACGTTCTTTTGCACCATGCAGACGTGTAACATTGGACCATATCCATAAATAAACAAAGACAAAACACTACTATTTCTGTTGTGTTTGTTCAGTTGAGCTTTCTTTGATTATCTTTGGTTCTTGTGTAGAATTCTGCAAATGTTTTAGATGATTGTTTTGCAGTAATTGGTTCATTAACAATATCTGACAACAAATTCTGGCACAATAAGTTCAAAAGTTCAGTTCAGGCAGGAGATTGTTCACCTTGGCATCTTTGCATTTAGGACCAGTGGGGTCGGACCCCATCAGATGGTGCTGTGGTGCTCTATGCTGGATATGCTGGCTTAAAATTATCAGTGGGGCAGAATAGTTCATTTTAGAGTAATATTGTATAAAACCCCATTATTTTGCTATAAATATTTGTTCAAATAAATGTAAGTCATTTCCATATTCCTGACAAGACCAGCAGGCTAAATCCTCTTTAGAAACTGGAGAACATCATATTACCCTGTTACACTAGTTGATCAGTTACACAATGAAACAGGTAATGTTGTTGTGCCCCACTGGCACCACTGGTTGTATGAAATCAGTATTTTTACTTTTTCATTTCTTAAAATGTGAATATTGACTATTGGTATGAAAATCTAAATCTTGACATTTTAGTCACAAATCCTGATACCTGAACTTACTAAGGCCTGCAGCCCGCCGGTGTCATCATTTCACAAAGGAGCTGAGTAATGGAGGCCAAGCTAAGCATGGAGACTTTAATAATGAAAACAAAATAGCTGATGAGACCGAAAACCTGCTGAGCTCAAAGTAAAAGCACTGGGGTGCGGTTGGGAGTAAAGTAAGTCCTGACAGTTAAAGGAAAAAACAGAGGACCATTTTATACTGGAAGGGGGGGGTGGGGGGGGGTGGGGGGGGGGGGGCTGTTGAGTTAAGATGGCGAAGGAGACCTGTCAGAGGCTGAGTGAGTTCATGTAAACAAAGCAGGAAACTGATTATATGAGTGAATAATTCATTACAGAACTCAGACTTTTTTTATAGCACCAAATCACGACAAGAGTTGTCTCAAGGCTCTTCACACAGTAAACATTCCAATACAGGTCAGGTCATTAAGCCAGTCAGTAAAAAGTTTCCTATATAAGGAACCCAGCAGGTTGTATCAAGTCACTGGCTAGTGTCAATGTCTTTACAGCAATCCTCATACTAAGCAAGCATCTAGCGACAGTGGAGAGGAAAACTCCCTTTTAACAGGAAGAAACCTCCAGAGGGTCCTGGCTCAGTATAAGCAGCCATCCACCACAAACTTCAAAGGTGGAGGAACAAAAATATTACAAAATACTAAACCATCAGGAGATCCAATTCATGCAACAATGTCAAGTATTATGGAAATCTACTTTAAACACTTTTTGAATCACTGCTACTCTCACTTTATAATCAGGTTTTTAATTTCTGGCTCTAAATCCATTTTGAAGTGTAGCTTAAAGAGCAATTCACTCCAAATCAACATTTTTTTTTGCGATAAACTCTATAAATGAGTGTCTGATCGTGCTGTTGGCAAATGTAGTCAATAATTCGGCATTTTAGTTCTTCTTAGTTAAAATTTAAATATTCTGCCTAAAATTGTCAGTGTTGTGCGTTGTCAGGTAAAAACTCTGCACAGCATTTGAATTTAAATCTGCCATCGCTATTGGCTAAGAGGTACCCTATGATGTTAGATGGGTACATTATGATGTCACAATGTCGTGAGTGTGTGTATTTGTTAGTGGCTCCGCCCTCTTGGTCTGCTAGGCAACAGCATTTGTTGCATTTTTCAAACAGGAAGTGGGAGTTGAGGAAGAATCTGGTAGGGGGTGACTTGCTCTTTAAAGAGCAGGTTCCCTTTGAAACAATGTTTTACTTATTATTTTTGATAATGATCAGTCAATCTCAGTTTAACATGCAGGCTTAACGAGAAAACTGTCTCCTACACCTATTTCCTACATTAGCTGATAGACAGAAAAACACTCAGTTCAGAAAAACCTGACAGATCTACACCACACTGTCACTTAGGTGACCTGGCAGTTAGGGTCCCTTTGTATGTTCATGCTCAGTAATGCACTAAAGGAAGACTAGGCAGCTTTGGCTTGCTTTTTGCACCCTTAGTGTCCATTTAGTAGGGCCAAAAGCAAAAACGTATCTCCTTGCTGTGCGTTCGTCTTTCTAACACCTTCATCTAACAGCTGAAATGTCTCCCCGCAGCCTTCCTTAGTGTCTACAGGAGTGATTTATCACTAAATAAAACAAATCAGTTGTGTTCATGATCTAAAACTTGCAGGAAGTAGACTGCAGAAGACCAGTGCCAGTTATGTATTTTGTGTATTATGTATTTTGACTTATGGCAGGAAAGGCTGTTGTTGGTTTAGCATCCAGGAGAGAGCAGACAAGTAGAAGCTAACCTTTAGCATCTGCAATTCCACCACACAGCAGAACTCCCCCAGGCTTGTGTTATTTGTGGAGATAAAACATCAACATTGCAAAAATAATGGAGTAATGGCAGAGTTGCGTTGTTGTTTGCCAATCAAAGGTGAGATGTCCAAATATCAGGAAATAAAACTCCAAATCCTGTCGTCTAAAGCTATTTTCTCTTCCAGCTGAATTCTACATCCTGAAACATACGCACTGGAGCTTTTTTCCCCAGCGAACAACTTACAAAGCAGTCATTAGTGACCACTGCAAATGTATTAAAATATGAGTAAAGTTGATGTTTAAAGCTAGTGCTGCACAGAATGAGGAGTTTCATTAAAAGTGATGGATTTCTTTTTTCTCAAATAAGCGATGAGTCATTTAAAATAAACAAATCCTCAGCAGGTCATTTGAAACTAAATGATGTCAAAGGGAAAAATCCTTCATGGTGATTTCTAACATCTAAACAGTCAGTTGACCATTTAAGGAAATAAAAAAATTATAATAAATCCAAATATTTTGACTGAAGTGATCCAAATTCTGATTAATATGTAAAACTGTTGTGTCAAACAGAAAACAGAAACAGAGTGTTTTAACAGTCATCATAATGAAGGCACGTTGAATCAGGAGTGTGGTATAAAATACTGAATGGCTGCATAAATATTAAAGACTCCAGAAATCCTTTCCTCACTCAGATTTAGTCCCCTTCCCCACGAGTGAGTTTGTCCTTATCCTGGGCAAATCCAGTTTGCTCAATTAACCCTTGTCACTCTTTGGCCAGGTGAATGCTGAAGCCGCTGCAAGATCTTCCAGCACTCATAATGAGAGGATCCACGACGACACGCAGGACGATGCTCCAGAAGCTCTGCAGCCAGCTGGCACCAATGAGGACGCACTGGATACACGGACTGGCCATCCTGTCACAGGTAAAAACACCCAAATCACAACAAAACGATCAACTCCTAAACTAGAAAGTGTTTGTTTTCTGACATCAACAAGAAGCTGAAAGGAGGATTAAAATCTAACTTCCTATTGATGTCAGGCTACTAATAACATCAGAGTCAGAAGCTTCTACATTGATTTATATTATTTCTTTTACACAAACTAAGTGAATATTGATTGCAAAATTGTTTCATCACAGTGAGGTTTTAGCAGGTTTTCCCCCTCAAATTCATTCAGAAATGAGCTCAGTTCATTAAGAACTTGATGCTTGATTCAGATACAATTATAACAGACTAGGGAAGTAGGACAGATGTTTTTGGAGCTCATGAGAAGAGGAAAATTAGTTATGAGCATTTGTGGACCGTTGTGAGGATTTTTACATGCATGCATTCAGAGAGGAGTTTGCAATTTCAGGTTAAATCAAATGACTTTTGTATGTATTTCTGTAAAAATGTGCATCTGCTGATTTACTTGTATTTTGCTGTGTTGAGCTCTCACTGAGGGCTGCACAGTGGTGCAGTGGTTAATGCTGTTGCCTTACAGCAAGATGGTCCAGGGTTTGAAGCCTAGCAAAGAGTGTGTATGTTCTCCCTGTGCATGTATGGGTTATCTCCGGGTACTCTGGCTTCCTCCCACAGTCCAAAAACATGACTGGCATGTTGATTGGTCTCTCTGTTGTCCTCAGGTGTGTGTGTGTGTGTGTGTGTGTGTGTGTGTGTGTGTGTGTGTGTGTGTGTGTGTGTGTGTGTGTGTGTGTGTGTGTGTGTGTGTGTGTGTGTGTGTGTGTGTGTGTGTGTGTGTGTGTGTGTGTGTGTGTGTGTGTGTGTGTGTGTGTGTGCTTGGTTGTTTGACCTCTGGGTCTCTGTGTTGCCCTGTGATGGACAGACACTAGGGGGTGCTAAAAGCAAGCCAAAACTGCCCAGTTTCCCTTTAAATTATAATAGTCTTACGGTTGATACAAATACGTTCATAAAATTATTTGCATAAAATCACTCTAACATAAAGCAATTTCAGCTGTTTTATTCTTGACAGTTTCAGTACCTTCCAGAATGGGCTGTTTCAGGGCTCTGTCACTTTAAGAAAACAAGCAGTAGTTGGCAATCCCCCCCCCCCCCCCCCCCCCCCCCCCCCCACACACACACACACACACACACACCCCACACCCCGCTCAGGCTGTCACCTACTTACGTGGGTTCACCATGCTGGACAACAAAAGCATGTAAACAGTGAGCGACACGATTACTAAACAAAGCGAAAAGTAGAGCCTGAAAGGGTTGATAACTGAGAAGCTCCGATACACAGGAAGAGCTTGGAGTAGAGTCGCTGATTCCCCAGCAGCAGTTCTCGCTTGCACGTTTCAAAAGTCCCCATTTATGACATCACAATTGGGGTCTTTTTGACGCAGCTTGTTGGCCGGCTCATGATTCCTAAAACCAAACACTGAGAAACTGAATGTATGTATTTTTTTATGTTTGGAGTGTGCATAGAGGAAATAGAGACCCACTTGGCAGCGCAAAACGTACGTTTTGCATAACATGTCCCCTCAGACATTACCTTTATTTAATTAAGAACAAGAGACATATCAGCACTTTAAGATGTACAATCAGTTTATACTTGGCTGTTTATCAATGTAATTAAAGAAGCTTTCTGTACTTTTTGTTATAAAAAAAATTTCAGTGTCAAGATTTGAACCTACCAGATGTGGAAGCAGTTGAGGGTTGCGAACAGGAAACCAGTGATAATGGACAAGGGAATGGCCAAAAGGACAGTGATTATCCTGTAAATCCAGACTCTGCACACCTCAAACAGGGCGTGGCTCCAGATCCACACTCTGTCTCCGCTGCGAACCGACACAGGCTCTGCAATCACATCCTCAAACGTCACCTAAAAACACAATGACCAATTCAGTCAGTGGGCTTACTTCATCAGCTTTTCATAATGTATGACTATTGCAACAAAATTATGTTTAATAGTGGGTTGTGTAAGACTTCTGTACCTTGAGGCAGTCATTTACACATCTGGGGTCTCTGGAGGTAATCAGAGGCTTGGTGTCACTGATTTCCACCAGCGTCGAAGTGTGAATGCTTTCCTCCTCCTCCACAGAGGGCTGGGCCTTCCACAGCGTCTTTGGTTCCTCCTCAATTTCAAATTCTTCAGGATCGCTGGAGTCTCCCAAATCAATCTCAACCTCCTCTGAAACCTCCTCTTTATTCACGCTGTCCATTTCCACAGGTGGTGTACACAAACCAAAAGAAGAGCAGGCAGGATGCTGGCCACCTCACCAGCAGCAGCATGCACTGAGGCTACTGACTGGACCCCTCCAGCTGGCCAAGCTCTTGGGTTATATTGGGAACCTTACAGCTCCCTGCCTGGCATTTGCAGATGGTCTGTTATGTGTGGATCATATTTCTGTCCTGTGAGGAGGAAAGGGGAAGGGGAGGATAAAAATACTTTAAACATGATCATGGCTGTGTGTACATGGTTGTCAGACTACAATCATACAAACAAATATAATACCAGATTTGTAAAACAGCAATAAATCAAAGACAAAAGATAAAAAATCTTCAGGAAGTTAAGGTTATATCGCTAAGACAATAGAAGGGTTTGAACTGCCAAACAGCACTGCCCTCTAGTGGCTTTGAAGGTATATTACATTTTAGTCCTGTGTTGTGTTATGTTTGTTGATAGAAAGTAAGTTTCTGCATGAGGATCTAAGAAAATAATAAAACAACCAGGTATAATGATGCTGCATGGATTAATTTGATAAACTAATGGTACCAAATTACACGGGTTTTTTTGTGCAAAGTGGACAGTCACCTTTATTTAAAATAAGTTTCAATAATTCATATTATGGACTGCCCAAAAATATCTGTACTTTAAAGCAAAAACAACTATATCATAAACAAAAAATGGTTAAGATGTAGTGTGAATACGCCCATTTTCTGATATCACCTCAACCTACTGGACAATTTATTCCAAAACATATAAATAAAATAAATTCTGAATAACTGATTTAAGCTATAATCATGTTGCATTTATCTTTTTCATCTGCAAGGACTTTCATTAGATTTTTAAAATTTTTGATTCTTCCCCTCTTATCTGGTTGTCCATAAAATTTCCTCATCAATATTATATTATATTTTTTTTTCTTTGAAAGTTTGGAAACAACTTTTCATTCATACTTTTATATTGGTTTCTTCTCCTATAAACTGGCATAAGTTTGCCTAAAAACAAACACCTAATGACTAAAATCCATGCTGTAAAATTCCCAAGTGAAACCAGAATTAAGTCTTTTTTAACTTTAATCAGTATCTAAACTCTAATTCTAGCTTCAGCTCTTGTGCAGACCTAACACACCAGTTTATAGCTGAGTGTGTGTTTTACTCTGTGATGACCACTTGTCCGTTTCCATGGAGAGGATCATTTCTGCCCACTGGACTGAAGCGGAGCGAGAACATGTTGTATCTATGACGAAAAACTTCCTGTGTCTGTTCGGGAGACGATGGCATGCTAATGGACCGCACACCTCACCAGATGGAGCCTGTTTTTTCCAGCTGCAGAGGTGAGGTCAGCAGTCTGTGTGTGTGTGTACCTGACTGCATGCATGCGTGCGTGTAGGTGTGTATGTTAATAAAAAATCATTAAAGTGGAGATTCTTTTCTCCAAAACCAAATTATGACAAGAAGTAGAATTCATATTTTGCTGCATTTGTTACTTTTCTAAACCTTCTAAACCTACTGATACAACTGAATAAGTAACATACAGGGACTTGCAATATTATCTGCCAATATTGGCATTAAAATGTATAATCACACTTTTTTACTCTTTTGGTGACACAACTTTTACATCCCATAAAATGGGACATTTTTTCATGGCCTAACTTAAATTGGTGGAGTTGTTATATTTTGCACAGATTCTGTTTAAAGTTTAAGAATGCATGATAGAAGATACGTGATAATATACATTGGTATCGGTTTATGTGGTATGAGAAATCAAGAGATGGATGATATTGATGTATTGTTAAAAGCAGATATGGAGCATCCCTAGTAACATAACTATCCATCCATCATCATAATCATCACTTCACCCTCACTAGGGGCATCCTGGATAGGTCTCCAGTCCATCACAGGGATGCACAGAGAAAAATAACCTGTCGCACAGTCACCCACATCTGTAATCAGCCACTACCTGGAGAAAACCCACACCTACAGTACATAGAGAGAACTTGCTAAATCCACTCAGGTAAGCTGTGCAGACGGGACTCAAACCAGCATCCTTCTTGTTTAATGGCAACAGTGCAGCCACCCTGCAGCCTTTGACATGATTATAATCAACTTGGTGTAAACTCAAACTCTGTCAATGTGAAGGTTTAGCTCAAAAAGAAAGAAAAACATATTCCAAAGGGATTTAAATTCTGATTTTGTTTTTTCATATTTTACTGAGCGCAGGACAAGGAGGGTGTTTAAACAAGGAATTAAAGTTTGACATCTACAATCTAGTGTTTTTGTTTTTATTCTTAAAGGTAATTTAAGCCAAATCACCAGAAAGTACTTTTACATTTCAAAATGGAATGAAATTAGCAAAAGTAGCTTACTTTAATCTGCTCTGTTTACTGATCTGCTCTGACTAGTGCCTACACTGACTTGTATAGTGTAGCTGCTTCTCTAACTATTGCTTCCCCATATTGTAGCAGAATGAAATGACTGTTTTCCCCCTAAAGGTCATCTCCCCTCTCTCCTCATGAAGAACTAATCTCCTTGAGATATTGCTCAAGGCCTTTGATGCCTCTGCATCTAAACTATTTTCACTAGCTATTTGCCTCCCCCTACAGCACAAGAAAGAAGACCAAGAACTCTTTTTCTTTAAATAATAATCAAATAACTTTGTTAGTAGTCCAAATAATCATGTGAAGCCTAATGTTCAATCAATCTGTGAAATGAGAGCATTAATTATTTGATATTATAATCCAATGACAGTCTATAAAAAGTAATATAACTTTAAACTAGACACTAGACTGATCACACGTAATGCAAAGTCACATGACACATTTCCTGTTTCTCATCCAATCAGAGCTTTCGTTCTGACCTGGGGCGTGGCTTTGCATGCTGTTTATACTATCCCCATTTGTTGTCAAATTCTGATTCAACAGTAAATCAAAACATCCAAATCATAAAACTATGTCCCACATCATCTGGGCTTCAGTTCAACGTTCTAGAGTTTCGAGTCAGCCACTCGTAACTTTTTAACCACAAAGAACCTTGGCAAGCTGGATAAAAAAGCCTGTTGCAAGCTACACCTGAACGCAACACTCCTTCAGAGTAAATGCTGAGCTCACTGACCCTTCAGGGCCCCGCCGACACTGTCAATCACCTGTCGCTTACCTGCAGGCAATCCCAAGACTAGTCTGTCGTACCGTACGCTGTTTCATCAGCTGTTTCACACCTAGATCCATCCATCACACAGAGTGTTTAGATTTAGTTTGCCTTGTTTTAAATTGTTTAGAAATAAATCTAAACATGGTTCATTACGTAAGATGTAACTAATTATTATCATTTTATTGTGTTTATTTCTTAATTCTAATTTTTGCTTATCCTTTATTTTTTCTTTCTTGCACCAAGTACTGCAGCCATTTCCAAATGTTTTGATTATTGCACATATGGCAATAAAACCCTTCTGGTTCTGATTTAAAACATGAGTGATTATGATGCTTTACACGCATTTGTTTAAAAGTTTTGAGTTTGTCTGTCATAAATGAGGACTTGAGGTGCAGCGGCTTTTATTTTACTGAAAATGTAACTTTAATTCACATTTTTTTCTATTCTTCCTAAAGTCACACAGCCCAAGTAACAGCTTTTATTTTTCTTCAACAATGTCTTCTGAGATGCTTTTTTGCAAAAGTTCTGTTGAAAAGTTCATTTATTTTTATTTGATCTTTCAATTGGAGTTTGAGGTTTTGCTGGAAGCTAGTCAGCAATTTCAATACAAAAAAATGCATTTCCCCTTTTAAAGGGAGCAGATTTGCTTGCTTTTAGCTCCCCCTAGTGTCCTTTATTAATTATCTGTGTTCAAAACAAAAATTTAAACTTATCTCCTCGCTGTGCATTCGTCTTTTTAACACCTTAATCCAGGGGAATTCCGGGTCTGGAGGGTCGGTATCCAGCACGTTTTAGTTTTAATTCTGTTTCAACACACCTGACTTCAATCAGCAGCTGATTAACAGGCTTCTGCAGTGCCTGATGAGCTGTTGCCCAGGTGATTCAACGACTGCATCAAGTGTGTTGGAACAGAAAAACCACTAAAACGTGATGTATACCGGTCCTCCAGGACTGGAATTGTATACCCCTGCCTTAATCTAAGTGCTGAAATGTCTCCTCAATCTTCATTAGTGGCTACAAAGTGATTTACCACTCATTATGATCTAAAACATTCAGGAAATGTGCTGGAAGCAGACTGCTGTCCCTGTGCCACAGCTAGCAGCCCAGCACTCTGAAGTTGCAAATGTGGTATTATGGCCACATAAGGACAGTGGGGGTCTGAGTGACATTTCCTTAACCCTGTAAAGTGTCATTTTAACACACAGTGGCTCAAGAAAATAATTTAAAAATATGACAAATTTGTATAGATAGGCTTTCTAAAGCATTGACCCTATGCTTCATGACCCAATGTGACATGGTAGTGGCATGAAGCAGCAGTAGCTCAGCAGGTAGAGTGGGTTGTCCAGCAACTGAAAGCTTGTAGGTTCGCTTCCGGCTCCCACCAGAGAATGCTGCTGTTGTGTCCTTGGGCAAGAAACTTAACCCGCCTTGCCTGCTGATGGTGGTCAGAGAGACCGGTATCGCCAGTATTCAGTAGTTTTGCTTCTGTCAGTGCACCCCACGGCAGCTCATCGTAGATCATCAACACCAGCGTGTGAATATGGGTGTGTGAATAGGTGGATGACTGATTGTGTTGTGAAGTGCCTTGGGGGGTTGTAGAACCCTAAGATGGGGTTATACAAATAAGGTATTTACCATTTATGTAGTCGATCAGTGAACAAAGTACTTCAAAGACTTCCTCAATCCCACCGGCACGTTCCACTGGATTGGCAGACTGGGGTGGCTGTTCCCCTATTTAAAAAGAGAGACAGCAGAGTGTGTTCCAACTACAGGGGGATCACACTCCTGAGTGCCAGAGCTTGGTCCACCCTGCCGGCAGTAAGTCAGGCTCGTTTTCGGTGAGAGTTGGGCTCCGCCAAGGCTGCCCTGTGTCACTGATTCTCTTCATAACTTTTGTGGACATGATTTCTAGGCACAGCCAAGGTGTTGAGGGGATCTCTTTTGGTGGCCTAACGATCAGGTCTCTGATTTTTGTAGATGATGTAATCCTGTTGGTTTCGTCAGACCATGACCTTCAGCTAGAGCGATTCGCAGTCGAGTGTGGAGAAGCTGGGATGAGAATCAGCTCCTCTAAATCTGAGACAATGGTCTTGAATCAGAAAAGGTAGAATACCTTCTCAAGGTCAGGGATGAGATTCTGCCCCAAGTGGAGGAGTTTAGGGATCTCAGGGTCTTGTTCACGAGTGAGGGAAAGATAGAGCATGAGGTTGATAGACGGAATGGTGCTGCATCTGCAGTGATGCGGGCGTTGTACCAGTCTGTTGTGGTGTAGAGAGAGCTGAGTCAAAAGGTAAAGCTCTCGATTTACCGGTCAATCTACATTTGGACCCGTGGTCATGAGCTTTGGGTAGTGACCAAAATAATGAGATCCCGGATACAAGCGGCCGAAATTAGTTTTCTTTGCAGGGTGTCTGGGCTCTCTTAGGGATAAAGTGAGATGCTTGACCATCAGAAAGCTTTGAATAACCCCTGACACGCTTACAGCTATAATTATTGCAAAAGTAATTTTCAAATACTTTTAGGCAGTTATAGAAGAAAGTTTATTGCAGCATACATGCTGACACCCTTTAGCATGTCTTCATGAATGTTCTAGGTGTTTTGGTTCTGCTGTGATGAACTCGGTCATCAACGTGTTTGCAGCCAAACCCAATAAAACATTATCTTGCTTTTAACACCTCCAGGAATCAATAAACTGGATTGTAGTTACTGTTTGTTTAAGGCTGTGCGCAGGTCTTTCTCCAGCCTGTCAGTCCATTTATACCCATAAAATAAATTCCCATCTCACCCTGTGCGGGTGGTCTCATCTTTCCAAGCTCGGGTCCTCCACCAGAGGACTGGGAGCTTGATGGTTCTGTGCAGTATCTTAGCTGTTCCTAGATCTGCACTTTTCTGGACTGAGATGTCTGATGTTTTTCCTGAGATCTGCTTTAGCCACTCCCATTTGGGGGTTAGTGCCCCGATTACCATGGGCACCACCGATGTCTTTATTCTCCAGGCTTTCTCAAGTTCTTCTTTGAGGCCCTGGTGCTTCTCTAGTTTTTCTTGTTCCTTTTTCCTGATGTTGGTATTGCCACATCAACCACAATGGCTGTCCTCTGTTGTTTGTTCACGACCACAGTGTTTGGTTGGTTCACAATCACCATTTTGTCCCACAGGAGCTTGGCTCGCTCTTTCCCAACCACCTTAGGGGGTGTTACCCATTTAGACCTTGGGGCTTCCAGTTCAGACTCTGCACAAATATTCTGTACACGATGCCATCCACTTGGTTGTGGCATTCCACGTATGCTTTCCCTGCCAGCGTCTTACACCCTGCAGTTATGTGGTGGATTGTCTCAGGGGCCCTTTTGCATAGCCTACACCTCAGGTCTTGTCTGGTGTGTTAGATCTTGGCCTCTGTTGCTCTCGTGTAAAGGGCCTGTTCCTGTGCAGCCATGATGATTGCCTCTGTGCTGTCCTTCAGACCAGCTCTTTCTAGCCATTTATTGATATCCACCACTTCAGCTATCTCTAGGTGGTACTTCCTAATATAGGGGTTTGTCCTCCCATGATGGTATTTCCAGCGTCTCCTCCTCTATTCTCCATTGGCTGAGACATTCACTGAGCCCGTTGTCTGTTGGGGTCTTGTCTTTGATGTATGTATGGATCTTTCATGTTTCATCCTGGATAGTGGCTGTCACACTCACAAGTCCTCGTCCTCCATACTTATAGCTACTGTATTGTCTCAGGGTGCTGGACTTGGGATGGAACCCTCCATGCATGTTTAAGAGCTTCCTTGCCTTAACACCATATGTACATATGTTATGTACTGATTTGTAAATATGTCTTTGGGTGTTTACAGACTTTGCACAGATTAAGCTCATCTTGCTCTTTTTATTTAGCTTTTTATAATCAGCATCTCTGCTTGATGTTATCCCTTAAGTCTAATCTGTGAGGGAAAAAAGCCCATAGGCTCACAACATTCACTGAAGAGGCCTCAGTGGTTTACAGTAGCATCAGACCGTTTTGATGTTTTATTTTTGAATAATTTATTTACTCAATCTGATCAGAAACGCCAGGTGTCCAGAGGAACACATCGATGGATGCAACATGAGTGACTCTTATCCGTCATATTAAAGGGTATTAAGCAGAATTTCTTCATCTGTTATGAAATGGTATTTTCTCCTTATGTAATCGTGCTGACTGGGTTTTGGTCTTAATCACAGGCTTTTATGTCAGGACCTGGACACTCGCAGCTTTCCTGCAGAAAGACAAAATTTCCAAGTCCATCAATCTGTTTAGCGTTGATAACTTAATTTTTTTTAAAAAATACAATAACTGATTGTACGTTTTAGAATTTGCAGTAAAACTGATAAACTATGAGTCAAATGGAAATGTTTCTTCAGTTATGATTTTTTTGTATTTTGTTATGACCCAGAACAGCAGTTATAGTTATTTGCAGACATAGCGCTATTTGACATCCAGTTAAACCAGAATAACATGAGTGAATATATTTTTTGTAAATCAATATAAGAAATCTGTGTAATTAAATTCCCATTCAGTCATTATTTAATTTCACAATAGAAACTGGGGTGATGGTCTGTCTGATGGATGAAATCAATGACGGCTCTGTTGGTCCAGTTCAGAACTCGGCAGAAAGCTGTAAATTTGTTTGAACACCTTCAGTCAATAAACACAGATTAAAATGTATTTGGTTGTTTTATTAACATGCAAAGAAAGTAAGTTACCCATCCAGTTCATATAAAACCTTCCATTATTCTGTGTTTATTACACATTTTAGTCAATGAAAATGAAAGATTTATTAAAAACTGTTTTGTTTTACCTTTACAAAAACGAGGACTCAACTTCACCAGGCCAGCTCAAAAAGGGCCACAGTTTGGGTCATTTCAGGAACCAACAGTGTGCCTAAAGGGTACGGGACTTGTAGTTAACTCCTGCTCAGTAGGAAAAGATATTGGCACACGTGGCTAAACAACCAGCATTTGTAAAGTTGGAAGAGTTGCTGGTGAATCAAAAGAAAAAGAAAAGAATCAGCATGCACCCTGCATCCTAATCTCCATTTCTAAACTCCCAAGACCAAACAATGCAGTGGAAATCCCCCCAGAGAGGACCAAACCAGCATATATTTCCTGTCGGTCACCCCCCCCCCCCCCCCCCCCCCCAACCCCCACCCCCCCCCACCCCAAAAATGTATTTGCTGAATTTCTATAGTGGAAACACAGCTATTGCCTTAAATCCAGAGCGCTATGGATGCCGTGGTATGACACTGATGTTTGTCTAACTGAACTCTTCTGGGATCTGACCAGGTATCCTGAAACCAGTGTGCCCAGTTTGATCCAAAGTACTTCTATGACTGGGAGTGGCAAAGCTCACTCGTGTCTCCAGAGTGCAACTGGTCCTGCGAAGAAACTGCAGGAAGTTCTCGTGGCCTGGGCCGTCGTGGCCGTAAGCAGCCAGCTCTGCTGGGCGGGATGAGTAGCAGCGCCGCAGCTTCAGGAGCTCCTCCCTGATCTGTCTGTTGAGAAGCCCGTAGAAGAACGGATTCATAGCGAAGGAGGAATACGCCAACCAGGTGACCACAACCTCCACGTCGGGAGGAATGTGAGCTGTTTTGTCTAGAGTGAGATGGAAGTGAAAGGCGAAGTAAGGCAGCCAGCAGATCAGAAACTGTCCAACAATGACCACCAGAGTGAGAGCCGCTTTACTTCTGCCAAAGAGATGGTCGCGAGTCCTCCTGCGGGGAGCGTTGTGAGTCGTGATGATGGTGGTCTGGCTGTTGATGGAATCAGAGCGATGCTTCAGCTGATTGATTGTCCATGAGGGCAACGGTCTGTGTTGCCGGGCAGCAACTCGAGCCACCTTATAGACGTTGCAATAAACAGCAAATATCACCACAGAAGGCAGACAGAAACAGGTGACGCTGAACAGCAGCGAGAAAATACGTCTGTGGTCGCTGTGGCTCCAGTGAAGCAAGCAGTGAGCAGCACTGATGGAGCTCCGGCCGCCATAGGATGGCCATTTAAAGACAGTGGAGAGGCCCAGTGTGGCAGCAGCCACCCACACCAGCACCAGTACAGCTGCTGTAAGCTTCAGGGTCATCTTTACTTCATAACGCATGGGGTGGACGATGTAGTAGTAACGCTCCACACTTATGGCTGTGATGGTGAAGATGGAGGCAGCTATAAGGATCACGATGAGGAAGACGTAGACCTGACACTCCATCATGGTGAACACCACGTCAGCGAAGTACGGCGAGCTGGAGACGATGCCCAGAGGCATGAGGAGGATGGCACACAGCAGGTCCACCGCACACAGGTGGCACACAAAGGCAAACTTCCTGAAATGAGGCGCTTTGATGACAACCACCAGAACAGCAGTGTTGGCCAGGAGAGCCAGAACGTTCAGAGTCACCATGAAAACCATCCCTGTCAGGTCCTTGAGGCGCGTCTGTGGGTTGGGAGGAGCTCCCAGCAGTCTGCTGGGAGACGAGGGCATCGGCGACCAAACGGAGGTGCACTCTTTGAGCTCAGAGGGTAGCAACGTCCTGTTTTCCTCCATTATTCACCAGAAATGGTTCTGATCCTCATTCTTTCATTTGGAAGAGCAAATGAATCAGAAGTGAAATAAAAAAGCCATTTCAATCCTGTAGAGAAATAAAAAACAAACATACTTCAAGAGTGAGAACTAAAGATCACCAAAAACAAACTTTAAATCCATCATTTTTCACATGAAACTCTGTGATAAGACCAATGTTTTTACATGCACATGTACACATTCAACCACTAATTAGAATGGCCATCCTTTATTTATCATCTAATGAATGTTGAGTCACACGGTTTTTATTTGATGCATAACTACACATTATTTCCCAGACAGCTGTTTTTTGTTTTGGGGCTTTTTTTGTCTGTGAGCTCTCAGTCACTCCTGATGCAGTTTCAAACCAAAACAGACGATCTGGAGGCAGTAAAGATAAAACAAACTTCTGAAAATCTCCATAAGGTTCTGCAGAGTGGCGAGGACCTGAGGATGAGTAATAAGCCCCAGTAAGAGCAGATCCCTTTACAAATCATGACCCGCGTGAATAAATTAACAAATGCGTCAACAATTCTGAAAAAAATAAAATACGTTTTAATGTTCATCATATTTTAATGTGAGAAAGAAAGATGCTAGAAGTCAGAGGTTACACTCTGTTACTTCAGTTTGGGACACAGCTTTGTTATAGTGAACATGCACACTCTAGGTCCAGGCTGAGATAACCCAGATGACATCACTGTGACCTCATTAGAGGGCACACACAAGATTATTTATTCACTAAATTTAGGCCATGTGGTCATAATCACGAGCTATCTGAATGCACTGAAATGTGGAGAAGAAAATTTCTCTTGAACATGAATGTGCATCTGTAACTCGATGTGGAGTCAGGTCAGTCCAAGATGGCTACCACAACTAATGGCAAAAATTGTTCCAAGCTAAAATAACAAACAGTAGCCGTTCACCGAAGTTTACTTGTATTTTTATGCATTTGCAGTGATCTCTGGTAGGAATGAATGCCTTCAAGTCGTTCTCTGGGTAACTAAAAGCTCAGATATTCCTATGGGAGGAAGTAGAAGTCAGCTGGAGGAGAAAGCAGCAGCAGACCACAAACATCAATGCGTAGACACCCCATTGGGCGCTGGAGAGCTAACAGCATCACAGCCATATTGGATGGGTTCCCCATTCTCTGAATCCAACTGGAGTCAATGCAGAGTGGGCAGCTATGTTGTTTTTTGTGCAGCCTACAGCTGCAACGTACTATTGACAACAGATCACCTGGGATTGCTTTTTACTTATCTAGCCTACCTGTTGAGGATTTATATTTTAATTAATTTTTTTTATTATGTTGGAATTTTAATTATCATGCCATACCATTTCTCTGATTTTGTGGAAAAGCATAATAAAATGTGTTTTTTGTTAGGTAAGCAGCACCTTTCTCCATGGAAATACCACACTGAGGATGATTAAAGATGGCAGCCTGCCGCTACGCCCGCTCCAGTAGGCAGCGCCAGTCCACGGGGTGTCCACAGATATGATGTCTGTGCAGCAGAAAGCAGGATTTAGAGTCTTATTTCCTGAGATTTGGACATCTCGCCTCTGATTGGATAGCAGCAACACGACTCTACCACTGACTCGTTGGTGTTTTATCTCCACAAATAACACAAGCCTGGAGGAGTTATGCTGTGTGGTGGAGTTGCTAATGCTAAAGGTTAGCTTAAACTAGCCGAGACGTCCACTGCTGATTACCTGATGCTGTGAGTCAAGATGGGCGAGTCTATGAACTTTAAGTCACAGTGCGACGTAGATCTGTCAGGATTTCAAACTGGGAGGTTTTTTTTTTCATCTATCCTTTTCAGAAGCTAATGCAGGAAATAAGAATACTATTTTTACATTCTGCCTGCATGAAAAACTCTGAGTGAATGATCATATAAAAAGTAAAAAATGGTTTTTCAGTGAACCTGCTCTTTAAATACTAAAAGACTGGGCAAGATTCTTAATACTGAGCGAGAAAAACTCTTAATTTATTTTTTTACAGTACATTTTTACAGCATTTACCAAATTTCACAACATTTAGTAAAACAGGAAGCACGGATTAACACTGTAGATTATTTTACAGGTGTTAAAGACGAGATCCTCTTTACTGAGGGAGAAACATGATCAAACAAAATAATTCATGGAGGACAGTGCGACTCTCCTCCTTCCGTCCCCGTCTTTTAGAAATGAAAGATAATGAGAGTACTTGTTTCAGTCCAGCTGCACGGCTGTCGTTGCATTTATCACTTTACGCTCATCCATCATTGAACAACAAAAAGGACTCACTCTGACCTAGGAAACAAGTTGAGCACTTACAAATCCACACATCACAGTATTTCAGATGCATGATGTGTTTATTGTCCCGTCTGGTATTTAAACACACACCAGTCCATCGTGTGTTTAGAATCATGATCCCTGCCAGAGATGCTGTACTCTTCTCCAGTCTGAGTTGTCTCCAGGAGCAGGACCAGCACATGTTTCATTATGTAAGGTTGTCCTCTTTAATATATGTTCCAATTGCAAATGCATGCGTTGAGCTGTGGGTTGATTGAAGCTTTATCAACAGGACAAAATAATTTAATGAAGTTTGAGGGTCGTTTGGGCATGTATCAGCCTTTAATCCTCAAAAACTCTGATTTGGCTTTAAGTACTATTTTTAAATTTTTTTGTTTAAATGCAAAGAAGTTTAAATTAAATGATTTCATGGCCTACAATGTGATGCACATGTGTGTTAGTTTTTCTCCTCCAGTCTTTAATCTTTGCAAATATGCTGAAGCCTTTAAACAGTTTTTGAAAGCAGAACAAGAAAAAAATAAATGGTTGGAGGCTATAAAAACTCATCGACCTCTTGCAACAACATGAAGCCATTTGCTACATTGATTAGCTGGTTTAATTCTCATTCAAGCTTTCTCGCTTAAAAAAAAATAAAATAAAACAGAACCAGACTAAGGATTAAGGATTTAGGACTAAGGTTCATGCTAATTTACACCAGTGCTTAGAATTACTGGCTTATTCTAAGCACTGGTGTAGATTATGAAGGCAAAACCAAGTAAATGTTGAACATTTTCTTCTAAAATCACATTTGTAACATCATGAGTTTCCCTAAAATAAGCTGGTATCAGGACATTTACAACATTATGTGCACAAAAAGGTCAGATTTATGAATTCTTTATTCAACAGGCTCACTTCAGCACCATGGCTTATACTGTTTTCATATTAATGACTTCTTATAGCATCTTCTTCAACAGTATTATTTTCTAGCTAAACAATTTGTAATACAAACCTTAAAGTAATTTTTTTGTCTCATTCCTCCCCTAAAACTCTTTTAAATCAAAATTAGCATTTTCATTTTGTAGCTTCTGCTTTAATAGGTTAATAAAAATCATTTCTTACTGAAGATCTGAACAAACCTTGCCTTTGGAAAACGGTGCCTGGATCCCCCAAAGAGTTCTCGTAAAGTCGACCACTTCCAGAGAGAGAAAAGCACATGGTCCCATTTGTCTCAAATTCAAATCCCAGATGTTGCTTCCAGGTGCTAAATCATCCAGCGGTTCTCACACATCTGGTGATTTAAAAAAGGAAAAGAAGTATTCTGAGCTTTGTAGGAGCCTGAAGGAGAGCTTCAGGTAACAGAGTGAGGGGTGATGAGCTGTGGATCAGCAGAGATGGAGGTGGGAGGAGCCAGTAGCTGATGACCACAGCAGACCTCCAGCAGCTCTCTAACATTAACCAGGCTCTATACACAATGTGTGTCTGTGTGAGGTGGTGACTAAATCACACTCTGCCACAGTAACCTGCTGAGTTGTTTGGAGTTTGTGTCGGTTTTATATTATCATGATGAATATCCTTTTTATAAATTAAAAAGGTGTTTCACTTTAAGATCCTCAAAGAGTATAGCATGAAAAAAGGCTCAACACTCACATCTGTTAGCTGTTGTTTCAAACTAAACACTAGTTTAATAGGAACATCATCTATGAACTTCAAACTTTTACTATACAGAGACCTTTATTGGAGATCTACATTTTCTCAAACATTAAAATTATATATTTATTGTCTGTTTTAAATGTGTCTCTCTGTCAAAGATAGGAATAATTACTCTCTTTGCATCCTAAAAAGCCTCTGTTAGTAGAAATAGTGTTCGCATCCTTCAGGATTGATGTACTAATGGTTAGTCTGAGCACAGCAAATACCGACGTGTTTTGCTGCCATCTTGAAACTGCTCAAATCTCCTAAATTCCACTTATCCGGAGTCGGCTGCCTAAGCAGAGAGGTTCAGACGTCCCTCTCCTCAGGGCCGGCTCCTCAGGGGAAATCCAGACATAGTCCCTCCAGCATGTCCTGGGTCTTCCTTCAGGTCTCCTCACGGGTTGAACCTGTCTGGAAAATCTCACCAGGGAGGCGTCAAGGTGTCAGGCGTGCCGGTGAGTGAAATGGAGGTGAGGATCCACACGTGGGTGAGGAAGGAGGCAGGCAGGCAGACAGGCAGACAGGAACATTTAAAGGGTTTTAATGAGACACGCAGGACAATGAAACAATGAACCAACCAGACAAAATGGGCTAACAGGGTTTAAATACAGGAGGAGCTGGGAGCTTGGGTGATTGGGAGACGAGAGGCAGGTGGGAGCAATTAACATGAACACAGGACTGAACCAAATGGGGAGACAGGACAGGGTGTGACACAAGGAGGCATCCTAACTAGATGCCCAAGCCACCTCAACTGGCTCCTCTCGATGTGGAGGAACAGTGGATCTACTCCGAGACCCTCTCGGATGACCGAGCTTCTCACCCTATCTCTAAGGGAGAACCCTGTCACCCTGTGGAGAAAACTCATTTTGGCCGCTTGTAACCGTGATCTCATTCTTTCAGTCACTACCCAAAGCTCGTGACCATAGATGAGTGTTGGAACGTAGATCGACTGGTAAATTGAGAGCTTCTCCTTCCGACTCAGCTGTCTCTTCACCACGACAGACAATGCCTGCATGACTGCTGAGGCAGCCAATCTGCCTAGCAATCTCCCACTCTATCGTTCCCTCACTCGTGAACAAGACCCGGAGACACCTAAATTCCTCCACTTGGGACAGGACCTCGTCGCTGACCTGGAGAAGGCATTCTACCCTTTTCCGATTCAAGACCATGGTCTCAGATTTAGAGGAGCTGATCCTCTTCCCAGCTGCTTCACACTCGGCTGCAAACCGCTCCAGCAAAACCTGGAGATCACGGTCTGATGAGGCCAACAGGACCACATCATCTGCAAAAGCAGACACCTGATCCTGATTTCTGAACCGTTACACCATAATCATTTTGTTTTTATTATTCTGTAATTTTGTAAGGAAAATTGAGAAATTCCTATGGGACTGTACTCGACCCTGTGATGCGTTGAGAAAGCTACATATTGCTGTTCACAGAATTCAAAGTAAAAACAAAATTAAGAGCAAGCAGAAATGTTTGTGAAGTAATCCTGAATGAATCGTTAAATTTAGGAGATCTGAGATATTTTAAGATCTACTCACTGTTAACTCATCAGTCCTGCAGGACGTAAACCCTATTTCTTTGAACAGAGGTTGTTCTGGAAGTTTAAAAAATAAATATTATTTACAACTTTTACACACAAAAAAAATCACTTTTCAAAATGGCCTAAACATCTTTTTCACACATTTAAATGTCTTACTTGAACACAGCTAAAGTACACTTGATTTGGTGAAGACAGACTGTTATAGACATGTGTTAGTAAACTACAACCACTGAAAGTATGAAAACATCAATAAAAATGCAGGGTGGCTGCAGGTTCAGATCCTGTGATCTGTCTGTGCAGAGGTTCTCCCCATGCATGTGTGGGTGTTGTCCAGGTACTCCAGTTTCCACCCACAAGCTAAAATCACAACTGCATTGCTATATCCACACTTTGAATAAAAGCAACCACTAAATGAATTAATAAACATAAACATGACAACGTTTGTGTTTATTACTGACAGTAACGTGTGACATTTTAGTGTTGTCAACAGTTTTCACTTTTCAAATACTCAACCAGCACCGAGAGCTTACATCTGGAACAAAGTGGAACAAGTTCTACAAAGTGCCGGAAAAGTAAACAGCTTCACGTCGAATACATCAAATAAGACAATTTGTCACTAATTCCTATCGGACATTAAAATGTAGGCGGTGGCGGCGAAAGATCGGCACAGCTAGAACTCCGAGCCATTCCGTTCATGTTTAGCCTGAAGGGAAGCATCTCTGCAAAAGGCTGGTTCAACAATGACTCTGCTGTCCGCTCGGTTTAACCCCAGCCTCTTCTTCATCAGCTTGTCTTCGTTGTTTAACTTTGTGCGAATGGCGTTTTTTATTTGGGTGCTGTCGACGCCAAACTTTTCTGCAACATGATCTGAGGAAAGAAAAACTTTATTATTCCTCATGAGCCGGTTTTGCTATGTAGGTAAAAGTTGTTGTTTTTTTATCTTACCCATGAGGCCTTTTAAAATCTCAGGTGGAAGAGGAGGCTTGTGGCTATCCTCTCCTGTGGTGTTCTTCCTGCCCAGCAGACAGTGTGTGGCTAAAGTGTCTCTGTCAAAAAGTATCATCAGGAGAGCTGAAATGTACTTCTTGTAGTCGCCTATTTCGGCAACGCGCTCATAGAGGTGTTTTGGCACCCGGAGATTTTCAGCCAGATAACAAAAATTCAACTCATCCTGAAAACAAAAAGGAGAAAATAAATGATGGGTGAATGTTTTCTTTAACCAAACTGCCACTCGCTGGTGAAAATGAGTTAAAACAGTAAACATCCTGATACAAAAGCTGTTGTGCGATTCTAATTCGAGCTATCTGCCAAAGGGGTACAAATGAAGGCAACGGGACTTCTTTGGATTCTTGAAGACGTTTTGCTTCTCATCTGAGGAATTCTGACAAAGTTATGCAAGGGTCAGGCTTATAAACTCTTGTCTATTGTTGTGCAATGAGCAGAAACTACTTATGAATAGCCCTGCTCCCTACCCCATGAGGAGGCGTTGCACTCGTAAGGCCCTATTTTGTGGGAATGGTTGTAGATGCAGGAGGGTGTGAACTAGACTGAAACTGTCCACTTACACTTGAAGGACAAGGGACACACTTTGGAAGACAACAATGTGCACATTCTGGACCGAGAAGATAGAGTTTGAGAGAGAAGTAAAAGAAACTATCTATGTCAAACAGGAAAGACCTACAATGCAGCTCTAAACCTAATTACAAAACAGTTTCAGTCCAAGTCACACCCTCCCACATTTAATCAAAACAACCATCCCAACACAATAGGGCCTAACGAGTTCAACAACTCCTCAGGGGGTAGGGAGGAGAGCTATTCATAAGTAGTTTCTGCTCCTGGTATGTTTGTTTCTCAGGAACACCAATGTTGTTCCTGAGTGAGTTTGACCCAGGACACGTTTTCAAATCCAAGAGTCAGAAACCAAAAACATCCCGATAAACATTGTTTATATCTTATTATTAAGTCTATTACTATCCATTTCAATCAATATTTGGTGTACTCTCACAGATCATGGTCCAATCTGGATAATTCACTTGTTTTTCATAAAAACTGAATTTTAAAACTTTTTTATTGTACGTTGAAAATACCTACATATAAAACACAATAGTTTTACGAGACATTGATGATTTTTAACATTTATTTTATATATTTTTTTCTTTTTATATAGTTATGTAAATAAAGTGACATGCAACATCTCTTCTGCTCTGGGTCAAATTGACCCGCTGACTTAAAATCAAAACTAATGACTCGAGAAGATTTTGGGTGAAAGTAAACTTTATTTGAGCACTTTTTTGAAACAAAATGACAAAACATCAAAATGTGAGGTCAGAAGTATGAACTCCACAGCGCACAAGTGACATGTCATCATATGTTGTGGTGAACACAAATGAACAAGGTGCATGTGTTTACACAGCACATGAGGGACATGTCATCACAGTGTGTTTTGTGCAAATTAATTTAGCACATTTCACACAGGTCATGCTTGTCTTGACATCATCAGATGGCTTGCAGACCTGGCACCTCTTTCTCTTCCCTTTTCCCCCAGCAGCAACCTAAAAAAGAGGACAATTATTACTATCCTTTTTTGCTTATCATAAAACACACAACACACACACACGCACTTACCTCACAGAATGGTGTACTAGATGTCCTGGATCTCTCTCGCTGTAGCTGCAGCAGCTGGGGCCCAGGATGAGAACTCCCAAATATGCATGTAAATGCATTTTATCGAGCTCTTTCCACTTCTCCTCCAAAACACGCCTTTCTTCTACATTAGTCATTGCAAGAATGATTTTCTGTATTGAGCTGGGCATGACGAGCTCTAAAGCGGACTTGATGTCTGCTACACGAGTCACTGCCATCCTACTGGGCCCTGGCACTGTCTTTGTTATGTTTTCTGCAGACAGTTTTGCCTGTTGCATATTTGGGGATAAAGACCTCTGTATCTCACCATTTTTGATGTGAATGCTTTGCTTGGAGGAATACGAATAGCAGCTTCCTCATTTGGCTCATAATCAGAATCATCAGACTCAGAATTGACTTCAAAATGGTCTTCGTCTTCAGACACACACAGTTCCAGAGCTTCCTGGGCTATCACCCAAAGAAGTCCAGTTGCCTTCATTTGAATCGCTTTGGATTACCATGACCTGGATGACTGAGAACCTTCACCAGCCTGTTTGCCAAAGGTCTCAGCGGTCAAAGGTCATTAGAGGACTCACCTCAGGGATACTATCAACTGTTCTCATCTGAACTTCAGGCCCCGGCAGGAACGTCAGGGTTTCATCTGGGTTTTGTGGTGTAACGGGTGGCTCGCCTCCATGGAGAACTTGATCTAGAGTGACTCGTAATTCATGCGTCATGTGTCTCATCTGCATCATGAGGGTGTTCATCTCTACAAAACACATTACAGTGAGATGGTAACACAGCAAGTGTGTCAAATGAAGTAAATCTGAAGAATCTCAAAGCATTTGTATCCCCGATTAAGCAAAAGTCCTATAATACTTCCTCGTCATGCTTCTTAGTTTCAAGTACTTTCTTTTGTGCTGAAAATAATAAACAACTAAAAAGATGAGTTGTATTATAATTTCTTTTTACGTGTTATAAAACATGCAGCTGGTTTTTGCACATCTAAGATGAGCTTTCTCATTCCCTCTCTCTCGACAGAAGTTGTTTTTATTTATTTATTGTGAGTTTTTCTCTATCAAGAACACACGCGATCTTCTAGATTTAGTAAACTCAATGAAAGTGAATGTAATCAAAGTATCTCTCACATCAATCCATCTTCCTTGAGAAAAAACTAATTTGTTGATTCACAGAGAGGACCAGCTCTTCTCATCAGCTTTTCTGAAATAACGTATTTATTGGGCTGACTGATGACAGAATGTTGATATTTCTAGAGGGCCAGTAAATTACAACTGCAAGAAAATCAGAATTATGTGATAATTTGAAAAAAAGCTACACTATTTATTTAACTTGATCTGCTTTGTAACAATAAGAATTATGACATTTCTACAGCAATCAAATAACTATGTTATCTCTCAGATTCTGAGGTAAACTGTAAGTTATTAATAAAACAAATATTGTGGTTTGAATAAAAAAAATTTTAATCTACTGATTAATCGAATAGTTACGTCTGCTCTCACCTCTGAGTTCTCTGAGCTCTCTCTCAGCCAAAATCCTGCATCTTCGTTCGTATTTAAGTTGGGCCTGAAGTTGGTCTATTTTCATCAGAAGGCTGATGGTGTCGGTTCTGATGCCGGTGGTAGAGAGGTTTTCTTCATCAAAGTCAATGGGTTCATGCTGAATAAAACAGACACATAAAAGAACCTGATGCCTTTCTGCGCACTAACTTTACTGTCTCACCTCGTTCTTGGGAAGAGGAGAAGGACTGGACTCCTCTTCTATCCCGAACCGATCCTCCATCGATCCAGAGGGAAATATCTGCTCATCTGGATCACTGCCGATTTTTATCATCTTCACTTGGGGTTGAGATGAACTTATCGCACAGTTTCTCTTTGGTGGCATTGAACTGAGATATCTGAGAAAAGTGAAGGGTTGGTGCGAACACGTTTACATTTTTTTGTTTTTCTGCACAGCTGGTGGTCACTCAAACTTTTTTAAAAACAAAACTGCTTTTATTTAAAACTAATCGAACAAGATGGAGAGGTTTTGTTTTGTCTGCCTCCTCATCCCCTCCTACTGAGCTCCAGTCGCTGGAGACACAGATAATAAACAAATACTGAACTAAAACATCAAATCTTATCTGATGCGTGGGTGGATGGTACAGAATTAGCTCACCTGGCCGTTTAGGCTGTCTTCAATGAAAACTGTTTCTTTTTTTTTACACACAGTCACTGAGGACAAAGGCAACGGAGTACATGGAAATACACTGCGTAGTAGAGGAAGTAGTAGTACTACACCAGTATTACAGTAAATAGGTCCTGGTAAATTTTCGACAATGTGTCAATAGTCGTGCGGAGGAATTTTAGATAAATATGCGTGAAATATAGATGTTTAGTTTATTTTTCAGTGCGTATTGAATTCATATGTATATGCCGGTTATTTTTAATTTTCTAATATTTTCACAAGCGTGTGTGGAACAAAGCTGTCAAAACGCAGTTCCCGTGGGAAGACTTTTAGCCGAGTACAGTTTCCTGTTCGTTCTCGTGTACAGCTCAGCCAATGAAACGCGAGAATTTTTACGATAGGCGGGATTCTTGAAGAAAACTTGACTCTTGGCCAATCAGTGTGCGTTGACGCCGGGCACGAACTTTATGTTTGGTTGCAGTTCACCCATGTGGGATGAATGTTGCTGCAAGAACGAGTTAGCTAGCTACCCGATTGTAGATCATTTCGAAACGATTTAGTTAATTGCCGTAATGTCATCGTCATTTTTCATCAAGAAAAATGCAAATCCCAAGTTAACCAAAAAAGGGAAAAGTACGTCGGCGCCAAAACGGAAGGTACACTAAACAAACTGTTAGCATGAACTTAAATAAATCTAGTAAACAGAGGGTTTATTTGTAATTATGTTTGTTTTTAACTGCATAATATGCGATTAGAAATGGGGTTATCATTTCGTACAGGGTGAAGATGGGAAGACAAATAAAGCAAAGTCCAAGAAATACAACGAAGAAATTTCCAGTGACTCAGAAGCAGAGAGGTATGTTTCAGATATGTTCAGAAACTATTGTGTATAACAAGAACATTACTTATACGTACGTGTGTGTGTATATATATTGTTGTTTTATTTTCTTGAAGTTCTACATTACTCAAGAAGAGGCAGGCCAATGAGGAGATAGTTTATGAGGAGACTCCGCAGGAGAAGAAACTCAGATTGGCCAAACTTTACCTAGAACAGCTAAAGGAAGAAGGTAAAGTATTTTACAAAGTTTTATTCTGTACTAGTACACTGTAAAATGTTTTAACAAAGGGTTTGCACTAAACAGAGAAAAATAAAGCAGAAGATGAGTCCTTTGAGACGGATCTGATTGCAGGAAGACTTCAAGAAGAAGTGGTAAGAAGTTTCATAAACAATTATATAAAACAGATGTGTACAAATACGTGTCCTGCAGTTGTACCAGCCCAGCAAATGTAAAGCATCAGTGGATATTTAAAAAAAATTCAATCACATTATCTGTAGTTTTGGCTTATCGTGGATTTTTGCCTGAACGTAAGTAATTTTTTTCCAGTTTGTAACTTATTAAAGCATAGCCATAGAAGATGACACAATGAGGTCATGTCAATAAAAAAATACACCTGTGACACTTGAAACTAAATGTAGATATACGAATAAAATACCCAGGCATTTAAACTTGAAGTTCTTTTTTAAAGTTTTGTCTCAAATCCTTACAGCCAAATAAAACAACATTGCAACATTTAGATACGGTTGAGGTGACACCTGGAATGTTTGACATTGGATGAGATTGCTCTGCTGAGGGTTTTATTTAAGCAGCAAATTAGTTTCTGCACTAACTTTTCTTTTTATGTCTTTTCTCAATCAGCTCGAACAGAAAGGAAAGCTCCAACGTCTTGTTGCCAAAGATGTAAGCAAACATGCATTTTGTCTTTTACGTCCTTCTGCACGTTGAGTGTTTTATTTTACTCAGATGTGCTTTTCGTCTTTTAGCTCATTGCACCTGAGGCTTCAGAGATCAGGGTTTTGCGGGGACACAAACTTCCGATCACCTGCCTTGTCATCGCTCCTGATGATAAATGCATCTTCTCTGCTGCCAAAGATTGCTCCATCATTAAATGTTGGTATTCTGTAAACTCTTTCTTGGTCATTGTCTGCATCGCTGTTAATAAATCCTCTCCTGGATGCTCAGGGGATGTTGAAAGTGGCAGGAAACTGCACACGATACACGGTGGAAGGAAAGGTACGGAGGAGCGCCACGTTGGACATACAGCTCACATCCTGTGTATGACCATATCATCAGATGGAAAATACTTGGTAAGAAGCAGACTTTTCTCCAAGGTGTTTCTGTTTGCATGGCGGTTGAATGCTACAGCGGTGTTTTCTTTTCCTTTCAGGCGACTGGAGACATGAACAAACTGATCATGATTTGGGAGGCTGACACATGTAAACATCTGTATAAATTTGTAGGACACAAAGGCCCCCTGTCGGTGTGTTCACACTCGCTCATTCATCCCACAGTTGGACACTGCTTCTCTCTGCTTTGTGCAACGACAATTATTTATTATTTCAATTTCTTAGGGTCTTTCATTCAGGAGAGGGACTCATGATCTGTACAGCGCATCTCACGATCGCTCAGTCAAAGTGTGGAATGTGGATGAGAAAGCATATGTTGAAACTCTGTAAGTTGGGAGAAAAAAATTCTTCAGTTCGAGCTTTGTTAGACATTTTAAATGCTTGTGTTTGTCTTGTTTCTGTAGCTTCGGCCACCAGGATGCCATCACAGGACTGGACAGTCTGAGCCGTGAGCGCTGTGTGACAGCAGGGGGCCGAGATGGCACTGTGAGAGTGTGGAAGATAGCTGAGGAGTCTCAGCTGGTGTTTCACGGACACGAGTGAGTCTGCTCATCCCTCGCCTCTGACTTTGTGTCTTCTTTACTTTACTTTGGGTTTTTTGCGTGCTGAGGGGAAATGGACAAGGCTCTGTTATGCTTCTGTGTGAACAAAGCTGGGGGCACACATGTTTACATTCATTATTCATCAGGAATGTTTTAAGTTGTTCAGGAGAAAACACGAGTTTACATGCTGACATCATTCTGAAACTATCCGGATTCAGTTATTCTTTTTCTCCTTCCTCCTCTGACTGTGGATCAGATTAAAAAAGCTGCGTCTCCAGAGACAATTAGCTCTAATAGAACAGTTTTCTGAAGGCAGTGGAAGCACCACTTTGCTGTTATCCAATCAGAGTTGAGATGTCTGAATATTCTGATTAAAAATTAGTGAGATTATCCTACCGCTTCCCACCCCATCATTTTTTTTCTTCTTCATGTTTGCGTTTGTGTCATTAACAAATGATCAAAACAAAAGAAAAGCAAGGAAAGAGCAAAAATTTAAAAAAAGAAGAAGAAAAAAAAGACCAAAACAAGAGTTCCTGTAGAACAGGGGGTATGCTAGGTGTCAAGCATGTCAGAACTCCGCTTCAACACACCTGATTTCAATCAGCAGGTGATTAACAGGCTTCTGCTGAGCCCGATGAGCTGCTGTACGGGTGATTCAACCACTGAATCAAAGTGTGTCAGAGCAGAGAAACCACTAAAACATGCTGGGTACCGCCCCTCCAGGACCAGGATTGAATGTAAATGGAGAAATCTTATCAGGAATGCTCTTGTCAGAAATAAAGATGATGTTGGAAGATAATTTTGGGTAAAATTTTTCTGCAAAATTGATTCGTCATTACATTCATGCCGATCTAGTATTAATATAATCCTGTGCTTTTGTAGCAGGGTGTTTTTTAATTGGTAAATGAGTTTTACGCGTTTGTTTTTAGAGGTTCGATCGACTGCATCCAGCTCATAAACGAGGAGCACATGATAACAGGAGCAGATGATGGGTATGAGCTGCCATTTTTAAAGTCGTTATTTTGATTATTATTATTGTGTTTTGGCATTTTCTCTTGTCACCAGACTCATTCATGCCTCTTTCTCATGCCCACGCTTAGCTCTGTGTCTCTGTGGAGTGTCAACAAGAAGAAGCCTCTCTGCACAGTAAAGCAGGCTCACGGTTGCCATGGTGATCTAGGGCTGGAGCAGCCTCATTGGGTGGCCTCGGTTGCAGCCTTACAGAACTCCGACACCGTCGCCTCAGGTGCCTCTGGCTGTGAGAGTCCCCTTCACGAGCTTTTTACTATCTCGGATCATTTCAAGATCCTGCTTTCACTAAACCCTCTCAGGATTTCGTTTAAAATGAGTTATTTATTTGCATGATTATATTTCTTGTGATAATAATATTCTTTTTTTTTTAGGTTCACATAACTCCCAGGTGAACGTGTGGAAATGTGGCCCGAGCTATCGCGGGTTGGAGCTTCTCTTCAGTGTGCCGATGGTGAGTTCTGCCGACCTGCTCCTCTTGTGAAACGTTATTCCGTAATGATCCTTCCTATTCCTAATCCCCTGCTTTCCACCGACCAGCCTGGTTTTGTCAACAGCCTGAAGTTTTCGAGTTCTGGTCGGTTCTTGGTGGCTGGAGTCGGACAGGAGCACAGGTACAACATTTTTGCACGTGTCTCCATGGAAACTGTGTTCGGAGATCCCAGCTACTAATAAATTTGGTTCATTAACTTCCACTAGAGGGCAGTGTTGATTCATCCTGTTAAAGGTCAACTACACCGTTCACTGAGGAGGGAACTAGATTTAGGAAGTCACAGTGGTGGTTATCAGTGAAAAAGTTAGATTTTTGTTCAATTTGTATGTTTTTCAGAAATATTTATGTTAAAGGTTTCTGAACATAAATGACATTTGATTCGCCATCCAGTTGTTTCTTTACTTTTGTATTATTAATAGGTGTACATCTAAAGCAGTTCGCTCACTAAAATAAGGCCCACATAATTCTAGTCGTTTCAGAAACATTTGAAGAATCGGTTTTAGAATAAAAAATAATAATCCGTATTTCTGATGAAGTCACTAACAAACCTCGGATTTGAACCATGTGAAAACCTTTTGGATATTTTCAGAGTTTCATTTTTCCTTCTCTAACTTGTGCATTAAACTCAAAGAATCTGATTTAATTCCTAATTTGCTTGTGTTACCTTTTACAGGTTGGGACGATGGTGGAGACTAAAAGAAGCCAAAAACGGGATCTATATTATTCCTCTGAGGAGAAAACCTTCTGACGCAGAAGGAAACCAGGATGAATGATCACTTTTTTTCTTTTCTTTTTTTTTTTGTATTTTTGTAAATGAAAAGTTTAAAAACTTGATACTCTTTTTGGGTTTATTTTCCCATAAATTTGTAAATTAAAGTTGCTCTACAAAAGCTGTGTGTGTGTGTGTGTTATAAAGGCTGGGTACCTCTATATCTTTTATGAATGGAGTTTCCACTCAGTGTGGCTGAGCCAAACAGCACCCAGGTGGACAAAATGTGAAGAAGCTGCACTGTTGGAGGTGTTCTCCATAGAAACTGTTATGAATAGATCACTTTCACTAATCCAGCTTAGACTGAGAGACCATAAAGGCTCAAGAACTCTTTGCAGTTGATTGATTAGCGTGTGACACTTGAAGCTTTTTACAATATTCTAGTTGAGATTTTCATCAGCTGTGAGTCGTAATCATCACAATTAAAGCAAAGTTATAATTAAAACATCTGGCCTTGCATGTACTGAGTCTATCCCATGTTAGTTTCACATTTCAAGCTTAATTACTAAAATCAACGTTTGCACCATATTCTAGTTTTTTGAGTTTCTCCTGTAGATGGCTGCCATCTTTAAAATAAAATCAGCAGTTCATGCAAATCTGTTCTAAATCCAAGCCACTTACATTTGATGGTTTTCTAGCATTAAATCTTATCCCTGCAGGAAATGTTCAAACTGGGTGCGGCTTTTACAAGTAACAAGGATTTTTTTTTTAGATAAATGGCTATTCAAGTCTCACTTCAACTAGCTGTTAGCTTGTCAATCCAGTCAGATCTAATGTTATTTCCAAACTTGGCGATCATAAAGCCTTTTCCCTCTGAACAACCCTTTTAACTCCGCAAGATCGTTTCTTGTCCGGTGAAAACTACATGTTTATTAAAACTTCTTACACGAACCAGTGAAAATAATAATTTACAGATCACTATACTGGATAACCCAGCAGCACGTGGGCTGCTTTAATGGTCATGAGTTATCCTACATCTCAGCAGAAGCATCACGATCAATTCAAATGATTTTCAGTATTTTAATGGCCTTTATTATTTTGTACGTCCTACTAAGAAGGTTGAACGTGATTTTCTTCTGCCCTTTAAAGTGACTGTGTGTATTGTTCCTGGTGATGGGCAGTAGATACCTAAATCATAGCAAGCACCCAGTATGTTTCTGTTGGAGTAAGACCTTACCAAGGAATGTCTATTAGGGTCAAAAAGGCAAATTTAGGCTAAATGACAAGCACATCAGACTCATTTTAATCACTGGCAATGAGTGAAGAGGTAAATGTGTAAAACAATGTTTATTAATGGTGAAAGTTTTGTAACCGTTTGTAACAAATCAGTAAATGTGTTTTGTCCTCAAGGGCTCCCATAGAAGGAAACATGGCATCCAATATGGCGTCGCCCTGAGACTTAAACCCCGCTCCAATGTATTTTGGACCCAATTTTTATGGTCATATGTTACGAAGCTGCCAATATTATTCAGCAACTTTTCATTCATTTTCAATAACATTTTGATGGGTATTTCCAGAGATTAACGATAAAAACTACACATTGTCACTTGAACACATTTGTGGGGATTTAGTTTTTCAATAAACTGGGTTTATGTGAAGCCCGTTTAGTCCTTTAAATCTGACATAAAAGAAAATTAGTTAAATTATAACATTTATTTGGAAGTGTTATTTAGGCCAATAGTGTTTTATGTGTTAGTAGATCTGGCACTAGCTACCTGTAGTAAATCCCTCCACTAGGTGGCAGAACATTTGTAGGATTTAACGCATCAGGTTTTAGAGGAGAGTACTAATCATGTGTAATGTGAGGAAATATGGGTTTTCTGTGCAAAAGGTCATTTGACTCGGCTGGGTCAAAGAGCTGGGTCGCTGAGAACTTTCACCCACAGATTGAGACCTTTGCAGACATGAAGTCTGCAAGAGTCTGCTGGAAACCATCTGAACACCTGCAGTACCAGAAGAAGGAGTTCTCATGGACAAGTAGTCATAACATAACAAGTCTTAAAACTTCCTTTCTTGATTTTAATGTTAAAGAATAATCATTATCATTTTGCTAATTATAAATGTGTTTAATCAAATGAATGATTCTTATGCTTTGGGTAATTATAATGGATTAATGAATCCATACTTAATTAGATAATGTTTGAGGATGTTTGTTACCTACCTTCACACACACACTCAAGCACACACACCCACACACAGATTCTCACAGTAAACTCCAAAACACATTTGCTGACGCACACGTTTGCTTTGAGAAGAGAAAGGCTTTTGGTAAGTTTCAGTCTTATGAGTTCAGTTCGTGCTTGACAACGAAAGAGAGAGGACCTGAAGAAACCGAAGGGGGGACAGAGCCGGTCGGCTCGTTTCTCCCCCCCTTACGCTGTTCCTGTCAGCCAGACAGAATAGCTGAATCGCAACTTCTAACGCAGACTCGTCCAGAGTCCTTGATTTCTGAGTGAATTAACTTAAGAAAGCGCATCGACAAAACACTTTACCATCCACGTGTACCGAGGGCAACTCTGGACCGGTTCGCGGCGCATCTTTGTCTTCTTTGCCAGCCAAGGTGCCATGGATGAAACATCATCCTAAGGTGACGTCCCGGGTCCAACAGGGGGTCCGATTTTCGGTGAGGCAGAACACGACAGATAGCGTTTCCAACTAAACCTAAGTTTATTCAAACCATCACTTTTCACTCAGACACCTGTTTCTTCCTGAAGCAAAATCAGACGCACACACACACATTCATCTCACCTCATGTTCAATTCTCACTACACTTTGCACACCCACGCATCCATAACCACATCATATCACTCTCAATCTTCATTCACCAACAGAAGGTCTATTTGAGCAAGAACAGCATATCAACTGTTAAAGATTGTCCCACAAAGTTGCCAATGTTGATTGTTATTTCCTGTTTGTCAATTTCAAAATCATTAGTTTAATTTGAAGAATTAAAACTTTTAATTGCCAAACTTGTTTCTTCATTGAACTGAAACACAGACCCACGGATATGATCGACAGTTTATCGATGAAAACAACCTTTGAGTCTTCTTAAAACTATACAATTTGGTTATTAATTTAATAAAATTAATATCACAAATTAACATGTAGAATGATTCCTCTTTCATAAAAGAGCATAAACCACAACGCTACACATGTTAAAGAGGAGTAAGAAAAATAGCAAATGTTGCTAAATTAAGGTTAGCTTCTGAAGAAAAGGATATAGCTTGGCTTAGAGCTTTTAATAGAAATCGTTCATAATCACACATCTACTCAAATGTAATGCAGCTGCTCAGGAAGTAGAGGGGGTTGTCTGGTAATCAGAAGGTTGCAGGTTTAATCCCGGCTTCCACCAGAGAATGCTGCTGTTGTGTCACTGGGCAAGACGCTTAACCCTCCTTGCCTGCTGGTGGTGGTCGGAGGGATCGGTGGCGCCAGTGTTCAGCAGGCCTCGCCTCTGTCAGTGCACCCCTGTGGCTACATAGTTCATCCCCACCAGTGTGTGAATGTGTGAATGATTGATTGTGAAGTGTCTTGGGGGGTTATAGAACCCTAAGAAGGCGTTATACAAATATGGGTCATTTACTAAGCATAATCACAGCTTTTCAAATGTGATGTTTTATCTATGAAAGGAAAAAAGGCAAAGCAGAATTCCAGGTTTGCACTTCGCATAATCGAGTCTTTTTAATTAGAAAACATTTTATTTACATAAATTACAAGATAACACACACCTTTAATCTATAGTCTACAGTAACACATGTCCTTTATAGTTGCCTAGGTTTCATCATTCCCTACAGTTAGTCACACACTTTAAGGTTTATTTCATAGCATTTATTTTTTACAAAATGTCTAAAACATTTGGATATATTCACAGCACTGTTATAACATGATAAGAACATCCTTTTTGTATTACACTATTGCTTCACAACCACCCATTTGACAATGAGACTCTTTAGGACAAGGCACGGTGCAAGTATCACATCTATCTGTCAACCAAGATCACAGCTTTTAAAATCTATACAAAATAATGAGGCTTTACAGTTGATACATACCATCAGATGTGGGAATGTCATTTAGCATTCAGAGTAAGTTACTCCTGCCGCTGTAGCTCACTCGACCCTGTCAGTTATCTCTCTTTAACATGTGAGATCTCTGATGGAGGGATGGCTGATGATTGGATGGTCTCTTGTGCTTAAGAGAGGAACCTTTTCTTCGTTTTCATTCACAAAGACGAGGTTGTAGAGTCCACCACCTCACGGCCGTTACAAACCGCCGGCACGTAGTTGGAGGCCGATCCTGAGGGAAAGAGAGTTGTGATGTTAGCCAGACCTCAGCTTTGTTTGGGTTCTGCTGATGAGAAGTCAGTGAACCAGATGTAAAAGCCTTGGTGGACTTGGATGTTCTGGTTGAAAGCTGCCCATGAGGATTTTTTAAGGTGTGGGAAACTTGTTTTGATCAACGCATTTGCAGTGGTGTCTGGTAGGAATTAATGCCTTGCAAGCCGTACTCAGGGCAAAGAAAGCCCAGAAATGCCAGCATCAGCGGGGACAGGTCTGCCACATCTGAGGAGATCTTAACACAACAGGACTTGGAGTCCTATTTCCTGATATTTGGACATCTCACCCTTGATTACCTAACAGAAATGCAACTCTATTACTTACTCTGTTTGTTCTGCAACATGGATGCTTTATCTCCGTAAATAACACAAGCCTGGTGGAGTTGCAGCTGTGTGGTTGAGTTGCAAAGGCTAATAGTTAGCTTCTGTTAGCCTAGACGATCTCTGCTTATTCTGAACACTGAAAAAAAGCCTTCCCCATCGCTAACCAGTATGGGTGAGTCCAAGCGACCGCTAGACGTAGAGCTGTCAGGATTTTCAAATCCGTGTTTCTCCATCTATTTTCTGTCAGAAGCTAATGCAGGAGATAGGTGTAGGAGACCATTTTCATAATCAGCCTGCATAAAAAACCCAGTGAGTGATAATTATCAGAAATAATAATAAAAACGTATTTTCAGTGTTCCACACCTTTAACAACAATGTGTTTTTTAAATCACTTAGATATATTGTAGTTAAAAACTATAAACACAAAATAATAAGTAGGCAGGACTTTATTATTTCTGTTAATCTAACAATTTAGCGCCAAACTGATGACTATTAAAGGTTTGAAAAATAACTTTTTGTATTAATCGCGGAGATGGCCGTAATGATTTCCTTCAGACTAGCAGTTAGCTCATCAATCTTCTTGAACATACTTAATTTCTCTGAAAAGATTGCCCAGAAATCTAAAACTTTCACATTTTTCTCAAAGGGAATTTTTATATTGTTCTGAAATGTGCTTTTTGTGTAAAAGTTTCAAATAATTTCTTTCAGCCTCTGTTCAGAGAAGTGCAAAGGCTAAAGTTTTTTTTTTACTATCATTGTAAAACAGCCTCAATCCCCCAAACTTTAAAGCAAATATTATGCAATTTTATTTTATAAAACTTTTCACCATTGTCTATTACAAGTTACCTAAAATTCACCACCAGCAGCTAGATGGAGCTCATCCAGGGCTTCTATGGGGTCGAGTCAAGCAGGAGCTTCTTCTCAAAAATAACCATTTAATGACAGAGTGATGACAGTGAAATGTTTATAAAACTGTATTTTTTTGTCACCTAGATGGCAGTAGTATACTGGTCTACAGATTAACCGTTAGCTTATCGGTCTTCTTGAACATAATCCTAATTTCTCTGAAAAGAAGTGCAGGAAGCCAAAAAACAGGATCATGACTGTATCTTTTTTTTAAAACAAAAACGTCAAATTTGTCATCAATCCTATTAACAGAAACATAATTTAGTTTTATTTAGGAACAACATGCAGTTTAGTGCTTTAACAATGTTGTTTAATAATTATTTCAGAAGCAAAACACATGAAATCACAGTGCATTAATCGGTTGTTACGTCTTCTCTTATGTCCAAATGAAGACACGACTAAAGCTAAAGGAGCCAGTCACAATGTTAGTGTTTTAATTAGCCATGCTTCCACTTTCTGCTCCAAACATGAATGTAAAACACCAGAAATAAATTCAAATTAAGTCACAACTCTGTTCAGATTTTGTTACATTTTATTTTAAAATGAAATTATTGCAGCATGCAGAATATAAATTCTTTATTCTATTTGGTTGTGGAATCAACGAGAGATGATCTGAGTCTGGGGTAATGTAACAAATCCACCAGCAGAGCCCTGTAAAGGTCACTAATTAAAACAATATATCTTACTTTTGGAATCTGCTGGGTAATTTCTTGGCTGGGAGCATTGGCTTGTTTAGATCTCTGCTTACTGCCTGGAATACCCATTACACACATTACACAAACGAGGTGCCACATAACGAGTCCTAGACGCTGATTTTGAGTTTATATTGAGTACTTCATTTTAATGTTTGGATAAACCTAAAATCCCCAGCCGTTCATTTACACCTGACAGTCCTGAATGTTTTGATTACGATGCTTACAGAATAAAAACCCTGTTTAAAAAATGCTGGGATATTTAAATTAAATATACTTCTTGTGAAATCATTAAAAGGTGTGGATCACAGAAAAAACATTTTTTTTATTATTATTTCTGATTATAATCAGTAACTCTGAATTTTTCATTCAAGCTGAACATGAAAACAGTCCCCCACACCTATTTCCTGCTTTAGCTTCTGATAGAAAATAGACAGTGAAAGCTAGGATCTGAAAAGCCTGACAGTGTGACATCACACTGTCACTTAACATTCATAGACTCGCCTAGTTTGATTCACGACGGGGAAGGCTGTTGTTGGTTTAATGTCCAGGAAACAGCAGAGAATGTCTCAGCTACCAGAAGCTGTAAATATTAGCATTAGATAGTCCTCCAGGCTTGTGTTATTTGTGGAGATGAAACATCAGTGTTGCGAAGTAAATGGAGTCAGTGGTAGAGTTGCGTTTCTGTTAGCCAATCAGAGATGAGATGTCCAAATATCAGGAAGTAAACTCAAAATCATGTCATCTGAAGCTCTCCTCTGATCTGGCAATCTTCTAGATCCTGAAACAGGAGCACCAGGGCTTTTTGTACCCAGAGTGCAGTTTACAAGGCATTCATTCCTACTATAGACCACTTAAAATGTATTGATTAAATGAGTGGACCAGACCGTTTTAAATCTGAGATCAGCAGTGAGTGATGGAGTTGAGAATTGGACTTTTATTTTTTTAGCAGTACTGCGATCTGAGTAAAAAAGGTTGTAGTTTTCTGAGAAAAATGTTTTATTAAAAATGTTTTCTTAGTCCTATTTTCTTTCTCTCAAAAGACACTTGCTGTTTTTCCACTGAGAGGCTAGTCTGAAGGGAAGTTTAGCACCTACTTCCTGTTCCTTTGGAGCAAGACTGGGGTAATGTGTGCAGAAGCTGGTTTGGCATTCTCTACTGGTTTCTTAGCAATATTTGTGCCTCCACTGGTGTGTTTATGTGCACTGATGCGTGCTGTAGCCTCACAGAAGTAGTTCCTCTTCTCTTCAGCCCAGAAAATGTGGCAAGCATGTATTTCAAAAAGAATTTTAAGTGTGAATTCATGAGACCACAGGACAGATTTTCTCTCAGTCCCTCTGAAATTACTTCACGCTGAGAAGGCAGAATTATTTCTGAATCTATTTTTTTTTTCATCTTTTTAACATTAATACTTTCTTTTTACTCTGTGGTGGAGTTTTTGCTCAGCTTAGCAGCAGACCCTGTTTCTTTCGCACAAACACAAAGTTTATTGCTTGAAATATTTGTCTGAAAATTTTCTGTTGTTAGAATGTTTATCTTCATTTAAAACATACCATACACACTCAATGTTTAAACGTGTGCAAATTTTGCATTGATAAATTACCTGATCTTTAACATTGTGTTAAGATGATAAAAAATGCTTGAAATTATTTAAACAGTGGAGTCAAATTTTACTTTAAAATCTATTTCTGATTAATCCAACTGATTATAACAACAAGACAAAATAAAAACAATTACTTATCTTAAATAAAGATTGAATATGAAACCATTTGATTAAAACTATATTTAAAAAATAATACCTCCACAGGGTGTTTAGAGGTGTGCAGAAAGAAGGTACAGTACAGCATTTCCTTTAAAATCTATATTTTAACTAAAAAATAATCAAATATTTATTTTGAAGGGCATGACATTGGGATTTTGTTTACATCTACCAGCCAATAGAGAGCACCATTGTGGGTTGCCAAACAGTCCATTGGCCCAGCGAGGCTGGGCCTGTGGAAAGTGGTGGTTTTGGCAAGTCAAGCCCAGAAGATGTTGTTCCCCTCAGAAGAGGAAAAACCATAAAAGACCTAAAACCAGAGTGAGTTTAGATGAAGCCTAAACAGATGAACCCAAACAAAAAATGTCACGTATCGGCTGCGAAACTGTTATCCCGACGGCTGGAAACCTTGTTCTGTTGTTGCAACTGCAATGTCCACACACTAGATGTTGCTTTGGTGTTTGTGTTCCATATCCCACTTTTAAATCTGAGAAAATTCTTGGACATATAGAGTTATTTCCTGAAATAATTTGTCAATTAGCTAATCTGCTGGGAACAGTAGATGTCACTGACATGTAAAAGTGAGTGTCATCTGCATATAAATATATGTGTGGTTCTTCAAAAGAAGTCTAGGAAGGATTCAACCAGGAAACCTAAGAAGGGTGAGGATGGATCCCTGAGGTATACCATAACCTGACTGGGTCATACCAGGTTTAACTTCGTTTAAAATTAGGCTGTCAAATTTAACACGTTATTATCAGCTAACACATTCATTAAGGAACATCACCACATATATCAGTGTTTCTCAATCCTGGTTCTCAGGGCACCTTGTCCTGCATGTTTTCCACATTGCCCTTCTAAACACCAGTGTTTCCCTGCTGCCACACACCTGACTTAAATGAAGAAGTGATTTACATGCATCTGCATCACTTGATGTAAATCAGGTGTGCTGAAGCAGAGACGTGGAAAACCTGCAGGACAGTGGGCCCTGGGGGCCAGGGTTGACAAACACTGACATACATGTATCATGCATTAACATGTTTTTTTATTGTTTTGACAGTCAGTGGCTCTTTTGTTTTGAACTGTTTAGGAAGTTAGGTGTGATAAAGAAGATGCTTCTGAGTGTTAAAAAGTACTTGTGGAAGTGGCTGCCGGGCAAACTGCAGCTGAGGGCAGCGGGGTAAACAAACGACTCTCTTCCTTATTGATCGCAAGTTAACTATGAAACTTATCGGGAAATAAAAAATTGGCCAATTGACGTCTCTGCTAAAAAATAATGATAGAGTGTCTGATTGAGGGATGCAAGCCCAGTTATTTTATCCGAGGACTTCATGTCAACCACCTCTAGACAATAGAATAAGAAAGTTTGATTGACAATTTCAAAGGCAGCACTCAGACCGAAAATAACTGAAATGACTTACTGCCATCTATCAACTCCAGATGCAGCTCATTCACACAAATGTTATTTTGTACCTCTGAAGTGCTCCAAAACCAAATTGAAAGCTGTTAAAAGCATGATTCATTCATGAATGACAAACTATGCAGCAGTTATCTTCTCCACCTTCAAATGAAAAGACAACTTGGAGATTTGTCTACTTGTCTTAAAGACATCAGGTTTCTTTAGCAGCAGTCAAACAAGGGCATGTTTAAAATTGTCAGGAAGCTATTAAATCATCAATAATTTGTAAGATAACAGGCCTCGAGGGGGAGGTGGTGTGTGAAACTGTTAGCGTCTATATAAAGGATGTTTTTGGTAAACAGCATTGGGAGTACACAGTGGGAGTACCTTTGGAGTAGCTGGAGCTGGGAGCAGAGGCAGAAGTGGAAACCGTGGCGCTGAAACGATTAGCCGTCACTCTGAGTGTAGCCACATTTTTCTGAGGCTGGAACAGGATTATGTGGATTTTAGGGGCAAACAGGCAGCCGAGAACCACCGAACCGCTCAGACTGACAGAGATGCACATGGTGGTGGTCTGAACCTGCAAACAAGGCCAAAACATCAGTTTGTATTTATTTATTTATTTTTTGCTCTTTAAAAGGATCATTTAGCTTTCCTCAACAGCCGCTTCGGCAAAGATGGACCTCCTCACAAAAATAGGCTTTTAACCCAAATAATGAGTTTCCCTCTTCTGTAGAAATTCCTAAAGAATTTTAGGTGTCAGATTTTATTTTTTCTTTCTAACCAAGAGTGCCGATCACTGAGCAAAACGCAACAACCGAGTAGATTACCAGAAGATTCCTCTAAAAGTACCACTGAGAAAAGTGCTCATCAAGTAATCCAACACCAAGACGCTAAATAAATTGCTACATTTTGAAATCAATTTACCTGCATCTTTCTCTCTGCTGTGAGGAAATTAGGCAGCAACATTGAAAAAAAAGTCCAAAGAGTTATTATTCCTGCATTATTACTCACACTTTCATTTCCAATTACGGATGTGTCTGAGGTTTTCAATTATGTATGTAAGCTATTCTAATTGTGAATTTGTATGTGCATGAATTTGAGGGCAAAAAGATGGAATATGGGATAAGCACAGCTGGCTGTCCCAGAAAGTCACTGCCTTGTTAGTCATATTTCAGTTGCTAATGTGAGCTGACTGCTGGGGTCATCTTCCTCAGCTCCATCTCCTCCCACCCCACTGGGTCCCCCTGCAGTCCAAGAACTTCTATTTGCAAAACCGCAGTTTGAAGTGAAAATCCTTCACAAATATGCAGCACAACGAAAGCACTGCAGAAGTCTGTGAAGTTGTCACACGTTTTACTTCAAAAACAACAGATGGGAGCGCCACGAGGACTTGGTCTCCTCCTGCAAGGAGGATGTGTTTGTAGTAGATGTTTTAATTTAACAGTGATTTAAATGACTATATTGCAACAACAGGATGCTGCTGTTTGTAATTTTACTCTTGGAAAAACAAGGTTGCACTTTTCAGCCAACAGATGATACATTTTTATTGGATTTGAGGGCATTTTATGTACTTGTCAAATGACTGTTTGAAATTTTATTCTACTTTGAATTTGACTTAAATGATGATTGACTTCCAGAGAATCACTCCCCCTCTCTCACCAGTAAACATCCAGGGAGCAGACACTGAGGTGGTGGATACCTTTAAGTACCTGGGTGTTCACATCAACAGTAAATTGAACTGGTCCAACAACACAGATGTTCTGGGCTGAGGAGGCTGAGGTCCTTCGGAGATAATTCCCAGCTGCTAAAATCCTTTTATCACACTGCTGTTGGCTCTGTTATCCACTCTGCTGTGATCTGTCAGGGTGCAGGGAGCTCTTACCGAGACAGGAAGAGACTGAACAAGCTAGTTAACAGCTAGCTTGGTTCTGGGCTGCCCTCTGGATTCAGTTGAGGAGACATGTGAAAAGAGGATGATGGGAAAGATGACCACCATCTTAAAAAACCCCTCCCACCCACTGCATTCCACTGTGGAGGCCATGGACAGCTCCTTCAGAGGCAGACTGAGATCATTACCGTAGGTCAATCATCCCCTCTGCAGCAAGAGTGTATAACTCGTCAGTTTAACCGGTACTGGCATTATCCTGTAACTCAATACCATCCATGCAATACTCAGTACGTGTTCAATACTTCCTATGTGCATATACATGTACTTTTATTACTATTTTTCTTCTAATTATTCTCTAAGCGCACGTGCTGTTGTAATAAGTGGGATAAATAAAGTCTATTCAACTTTATTCTATTGTTCTATTCTAACATTATCAGCTGCAAATGCTTTTGGAGTTTTAGGATTATACTTAGTTGTAATAAAAAACGTTGGCCCAAAAGATTTTTGACCGCATTAGTTTCATTATATTTTGCTTCTAGTGAATCTGACTCCTTGCAATTTCACACAAGAGTTTCTGAATGTCTTTCAGGGTTAATTATTTGGACTATGGCTGCTTTTTCAAGCATTTTGTTTATGTCAACCAACTGTGTGTAGTATGTGTGCTTGAACATTAAGAAAAGTGAGCAAGCAGAGAATAAAACAAGGACGATTTGGCCCAAAACACTGAATATAACAAATGAACAGTAACATAAAATACGAGCCAAAATTTAGCAAAAGCATGAAAAACGCATCTTTCTTCAACTAATCATGCTGTTTGTTAGGTTTTCAGTTAGGAGCTCTTTTAAGACCATGCTACTGCAACACATTCTGCCAATGAGATTTTTATGTATTGAAATAAAGAAATGGAAACTAAATGTGTCGTACAGAGATGATGTTTGAGCTCTGGACAGAAAATAATTGAAAAAGCAGCCAAAGACCAAAGAAAACCCTGTAAAGACATTCAGGAAGCCAGGACATTTGATTGAAAGCACTTTAAAAGATTGAAAGCATCTCTGTTTAAACAAACAAAGAAATCAGATGTGACTCAAGCCTTTTGCGCAGCAATATAAACATACAAAAATATGACATTTGAATAATTCACACCTTAACAGCTTGTGCTCATAAAATGTGTATTTGCCAGTTAAACTTGGGAGTTCATGCTGATTTTTGGAGCAACAACGCTGAGGCTGACCACACTCTCATGCTATCCACCTCTAATCTGGAACCCAGTAACTGAACCCGCCACCATTATTATTGTTGTCACACAGAGCGAAGGCTTTGGTGTCCCTGTTGCGGTGTCATACCTGACATTCCGTTAATTAATCTGTGCTGCGTCTCCAGCATGAAAACGGATCCTGGATGATGCTCAGGTGGCCTCAGAAATCCCTCTGAGCATCACCAAAGGTGGCTTCACGCTCATGATTCGATTACAGCAGACATGAAAGGGCTCAGATACCTTATGATGATAGAAAGCTTGTGTGATCAAACACCCTTTCTCCACTTCCTGTTTGCACAACAAAGGCCTTGGTGCACACCTTGACCAAAACGCTGTGACAGCAGCCTTGGGTCGGCCTCGGGCACCAACACTCAGCTCACATGCTCTGTCAGGTTCGAGTTTAATCTTTAATTTCATCACTTCACACAGACTGCACAAAGCAAACAGATTCATCAGGACCTGGAGCCTAAAATAATATATTCTAATTAGCGTGCTGCTGTAATGTTATGGTGCCAACAATTTCAGAATGCAGATTCAGCTCATTTACTCTTTGCATTTTCTGTGAGCTAAATTTAGCCTTCAGCTGGAGATATGTTATCATTTTCTAGTCATTTTTTTATTTTTTGAGGAAGTGCCTTGGAGCGCAAAGCAATACCGTAACTTGCTAACGTCACCAAAAGGTAAGTTTTTTTTTATTCATAATATTTAAAATAATTCTGTTTGTACACCTGAAATGTGCCATTTAGCAACAAGAACATTTGCAACTCAGTGAATAAGTTTGCCTTTTTAGGTCAGTGTATAAATGCTGGATTTGTATCCAGAGTTTTTCTTAATGTCCACAAAGATTCTTCAGCTCTAATTTAAGAAAGCATCTTTTTTAGGTGTGTACGGTTGGTGGGGATCAAATGCAAATAAAGCAAAGGAGTATTCTTTTAAAGTTTTTTCCACGTCTACAAAAGTTCAAAAACAAAGACACACATCGTGACTACGCAGATGACACTAAGGACCTGTTTCCACTATCGGAGCTTCCGGGTGATTTTACTGGACTTTCACAGTAGTGTGTGTCTCCATTTTACCGGACCGCGCCCAAAAGGACCACTTTAAAGTCCTTTTGATGACCAACTCAGTACTAGAACAAGGTTATGAACTCGGAAACAGACGTATGGTTAACTCAAGCTGATGTGTGTGACTCATTAAAAAATGAAGCCTGTTTCCAGTATCACAGCTTCCAGGTAATTTTTTCCCGACTTACACAGTATGTCTCTATTTCCCCGGGCCACCAGGAACCAAGCAAGCACCTGTATTGGGTTATGTACTCAGAAATGGCCCAATGGAGTTGCTGGGCAGGACTTGCGGTTAACTCATGCTGATTGGTTGTAACTTAGTAGGGAATGATATTTGCAGACGTCATCAAACATTTGTAAAATCGGTAGAGCTGACAAAAGCTTAATGAAAGGAAAAGAAAATGTGCAGCATTGAAGCTGCTTTAAAATGACGGTGTGTATTTTTCCTGGCAATAGGGGGCAGTACAGACCTAAATCATTGCAAGCAAGCTGTATTTTTGTGTTGGAGTAAGGCCTTACCAATGGATGGCCATTAGAGTCAAAAATCCCTGGGAGCAAAACCTCCAGCAAAATGACAAGCACATCAGACTTCCTTCCATCACTGACAATGACTGAAGACTTAAACGTGTAAAGCAACGTTTATGAATGGCAAACGTTTTGTAGCCGTTTGTTACAAATCAGTAAATGAATTTTGTTTTTACGGGCTCCCACAGAAGGAAATGTGGCGTCTAATATGCTGTTGCACAGAGGCTTAGACCTGCTGCCATGTAGTTTAGACACGATTTTTATGGTTATACGTTACAAAGCTGCCAATATTTTTAACAAGAGGGCATCGCTTAAGTCACTTTCAACTATATTTCAATAGATTTTCCAGAGATTAACAGTAAAAACTGCACATTGTCTTTTTTAAATCGATGTTTCTAAACTCCCAACGCCAAAAAAGTGGAATTCCCTACACAACACCATACTTCACTACTCTTTGTGTTCTCCTACAGATCACCGTAAAAAACTACACTTTACCTGGTCATTGAATATCACTTCTTACATCATGCAGCCACTCTCCCTTTGATGGATTAAATGATGGTGCACTTTAACAGAATAAAACTTTTAAAATCTTATTAATGTCCACAGATGCCTTTTGGCGCTGATCAGTGACATCAATCACTGCTGATCTGTCATTATGAGAGGAAGTCTTAGCAAAGTCCTGAAAAAAACAAGTTTGTATGGAAGCACAAAGGCTGAAAGGACAGAGCCAGCCTATATTCCCTGCCACCTTCCCTCCTCCCAGAAATTTCCCAGAACTCCTATGATTGAAACAGAGTTGATGAGAATATAATTTTGTGCATATTTACCCTGTAGTCACTGGCTGTGACATAGAAAATGGGCTGGAAGGCGAGCCAGATGATGCAGGTGGTGTACATTGTAAACCCAATGAACTTGGCCTCGTTGAAGTTTTCGGGACACTTTCTGGTCTTGAAAGCGTAAACAGTGCAGAGGATGATAAGGACACAGTTGTAGGTGAGGGACATGAGCATGCTGGTGTCCCTGCTGTTGCACTTGAGGGTAACCACATCTCTCCTCTCTGGGCTCACCTCCTTCCGCACCCCGGGCACCTCCACTAACAACCAGATCACAGCCACCAGCAGCTGGCAGGAGATTAGAGCTCCACATATCGCCACTTGGGATGCTGGGCTGATAAAGCGTGGCCGCTGTGCTCCATCTTTTACCCCGCTGAAGATTCGAGCGATGCGGTTGGTCTTGGTGAGCAGAGCTGAGTAACACACTGCAAAGGAAGTGCCCAGGCCCAGTCTGCGTAGCGTGCAAACAGCAGTGGAAGGTTTGGCAATGTAGATGAAAGTGATGCTATAGCACATTAGCACTCCCATCAAAAGAATGTAGGAAAGTTCACGTCCACTCGCTTTGACCACGGGTGTTTCATTGTGCTGAAAAAACACTCCCACAACAGTCAGGGTGCATAGGATACCAAAACAGGAGATGGTCACAGGTCCTATCGCCCAAGCATCCTCCCAACGGATGTACTCTTCAGGCAGATCATAGCAGCCAGTCAGGTTAGCCAGCGGCCACTGACCAAAGCTACAGTCAGCGCAGGTGAACTCATCTTGCAAGTACTGGTAGGGCTGACAAGGGATGCAGATCCAGCAGCACACATCTCCAGGCTGCATGCTCTTTATCTCATTTTTCCTGCAGGGGTCGCTACACTGGGAGGTCGGAGGTACAAGGCCGCGCCAGGGCACCATGGTGGTGTTTAGAGTCAGGATCTGGTC